TGATTCATATCAGATTTGTTGCCACGTGAAAGTGAAGTTCCATCGTAGGTCAATTTTATTTTATAGACTCCTCCAAAGCTGTTATGGATGTGAGTTTAGGACGCCCAGAAAGTAAACAACTAACCGCGCAGTTTTGACAGCCCTTGGTGGCATTTTGGCTAAAAACCCTTAGGCTGAAGCCTACAAAACTAGCTGAAACAAGGCACGAAAGTTTTAACTTGAACACGCGATTTGTTGATAGTGTACAGATGGATGTGCGCGCAGTATATCTAGAGTTTTTCTATTCTTCAGAAGGAGAACCACCAGGCCATCGACACATCGTTGTGCACTATCGTCTGCGTCCAGAGCTAAATTTCTGTTTTAAGCCCTTATTGTGACCCCATGTTTTATCCACTAATCTATCCCTTGAGCTATCGTGAGCCAGGCTATAACTCTAAACGGAAAAAACAACACCATAGTGAACGACTAACAATGTTATGCTTGCTATCGGTCTGCTATTCGTTTTCTCACGTCCATAAATTATACCGTTCCATTATTCCGACTACGGAATGGGGCTGTTGCTCCAACTGGCCACTAGTTAAGATATTGGGTTGTCCGGAAAATAATGCAGGATTTTAAGTTTTCATTAAAAAAAATCTATATAAAATATTCTGTTTACGTTTACAGGATTACTCATTTGTATGAATGTCAACACTTATTAATCCTCTTCCAAATGATATTGTTTGTTTACCTCTGTAGCATTCCGCTACTTGGAAATAATTCAGTCATCCTTATAATGTCAAAGCGAGAATTTCGTACGATTTTCTTTTACGAGTTTAAACTCGGCCGAAGCGGAGCCCAAACGGCTAGAAACATTAACCAAGTCTGGGGCGAGGGTTGTGTTAATGAGTGCACTGTGCAAAGGTGGTTTAAAAAATTTCGGGAGGGAGATTTCAGCCTTGAAGATGAAGAAGGTCGTGGAAGGCCTTCCTCTCTTAATGATGATGTTCTGCGATCAGTGGTGGAAGAAAACCCCAAAACAACTGTTCGAGAACTTGCAGAGCAACTCAAAGTCAGTAAAACGACCGTCGCTGACCACATTTTCCAAAGCCCCCAACTCATCAAAAAAAGGTAATGGTTACGGTATGGTGGGCTTCATTTGGTTTAATACACTACAGCTTCTTAAATCCTGGCGAAACCATCAATGCTGAATCATACTGTAACCAAATTAATACCATGCATCAGAAATTGGCAGTAATGAAGCCCTCTTTGGTCAATCGGAAAGGGCCCATTTTGTTGCATGACAACGCTCGACCACATGTGTCACGTGTAACGTCACAAAAATTATTGGAGCTTGGCTATGAAACTTTGCCTCACCCACCCTACTCTCCGGACCTCTCGCCTACTGACTACCATTTTTTTAGACACCTGGACCACTACTTACAACACATAATATTCAAAAATCAAACGGAACTGGAAAATGCATTTATTGACTTTATCAATTCTAAAAATTCTGAATTCTACTCAGACGGAATTAATAAGTTACCAACACGTTGTGATTAAAGAACATTGCTTTAAAGTAACTAGTTTCTTTTTTTTTGTTTAATACCAAAATCCTGCATTATTTTCCGGACAACCCAATAGTTGTCATAAGTACAGAACAAATAAAAATTATTTTTAAAAATTGTCATAACTTGCCAGTTTTGTTCGACGTGCGTCATTTATATTAGAAATGATAATCTTTATTGAAAACAATGATCAAAAATATCGGACTAGATGGAAAGAAGGTCACGTTTATTACTCTGGTATAAAATTACGCTAGAATAGAAAGGTGAAAGTGCTCCTCGTCGAATGTGGGCCTTTCCGTGTGAATAAATTGGACCAGGACTGGATGACTACTTTTTCATCTCTCTCTCTTCCTCATGAGGAAACAACGAATTACCACATGGGAAATATATTAAAGACAGTTTTCCAGCGACTGAACATGATACTTGGATTATCCCAAGGGCCGAATAATGTATGTAGCTACATTTTGTAGAGAACAATTGATACAAAGAAATATATAGTATTATGTCGAAGAAAATTTATTGTAGAGTAAAAAATACATATTTCAAATGTAGGAAACGTGACGATTAAAAGATTATTCCGAAAAACGGCTCAACACGCTCCAGTTTATCACGGAGAAAATGCCCCTTGAAATTAATTTCCTGAGTCGATTTAGCATTCCATTATAAAATCTTAAGCCTGATTTACTGCTTGCAGACCTGGAAAACGAAAAATGTAATTGGTTTTCACTTTCGATCTTTTGAACTAGTTTGAGTTAATTTTTGATCCCCCATTTCTCAATATTCGTTTAATTTTGTCTACAGATTATCCGAACTGTTTTTTATTTGAAAAGTGACTGAATAAAACGCTGTTATGCGATTTAAGAAAAATTCCCACTGGTGATGATGGCGTGAAACAAAAAACTATTCTGGCCAGAGGCAAACAGGGCGGGTAATCTGACATCCTTTATCAGAAATTATCTAAACGAATTTTGTACCTTAATTCCTGTTCTGTTTTGCATATAATAGGATAACTCAATTGTACAGTTACTAAAAATAGGATGTTAATTGAGCGAGTTACAAGTTAGTAGTTAGCCTAAGAACGTTTTTCGATGATAAAAATAAATGAAATTTGTTCAAAACGAAGTTTGTCTGTTCAGAGTTCACTAATTTTGGACTTTACCATAGTCATCTTCAATGACTAGTCTTCATTCCTTTTGTGAAGAATTGTACAGAGCACCATGACCAAGTCAGTACCGTCAAAATGGGACCATGCACTTGTTACCCATTATTTTAAAGTATTTTCCACGCTGTATTCGATACTGACTTTCGAAATAATCTAATAAGGCAAAATTAAGCCAATTTCATTCCAAATTTGAGCAGCATCACTTTCACGCTCCTTTCCGTAAGTGTAAATAATTGATATTCTTGTTTGTAAAAAAATTTTCTTGATTTCAAAAGTTTCTCGATCAGCTACATATTCTTCATAGGCTGAGGCCCTCTCTCTTAAACGCTCGACCAAAATATTAAATATACAAGTTTAATTAAATAATAAGCGAAAAAGTGAGAGTGTACAAAACATCTGAAAGAGATTGCCAAAACTGTGTAGTATCTCCTGTCAAGACTGAAAAGAAATTAGCAACAAAATACCAGACACATTGTAATACTGTAGTAGTAATAATAATATTATTGAATGACCATTATTATTTATTTTTAATATTTTATAATCCTTTGTTTGGATACTTATTTACACGACTGATTCCTCTGAGATTAGTTGTATATGCAGATAGATATATACAGTTTGATCACTTGTGATAAATGAAAAAAGCAAACAGTATCTCTCTCATTTTCTCTCTCTCTCTCTCATACTCCAACGCTTTCTTAATTATCAGTGTAAAGATTTTTAATACAGTGCCAAATAGTATTTCCTCTGTGAGCAGTTTTCCTACTTTCAAGAAAAAAATCTAAAAAATCTGATGGAAAATAATTAAAAACATCATAAAATAATGAAATTAGTTAATTTTATGTACATATTATATTATATGCTTGTGCATTCTTTAAATAGCTAGAGTAATAAGTAAAATTAAAAACTAATTGGTTAATTAATTTAAAGTCCTGAATAAACATAAAAAATTCTTGTAAAAGTTTTTATTCTTTAGTTTTTTATTGTTATTCATTTTTTTACATAAATAATTACTAATTATTTTTTTTGTAACGTGAAATATTTAATAAAAAATATGTAAAACTTTTTTTTTGTATTCTATTTCTAAAATAAATTAAGTGGAAGAAAGGCCCGTGAGACCTAACTTTGCGTGGTTAAATAAAACGTTCTATCAATCAATCAATCAATCTCTTTCTGTCTCCTCTCTCTTTGTCTTCCTCTTTCTTTCATTCTCTTAGTTAGAGTTTAGTTTTATACCTGTCGGAGAGCGAATTGATTTTAGGTGTTTTCTCACTTCTGATGATAAGACAACAAAGCAAACAGCATCTCTCTCACTTTGGCTCTCTCTCTCATTATCTTTCTCTATCTTTGTCCCACTCCCGCTCTTTCTCGCTATCTCTCATCTCTTTCATTCTCTCTCTCTTCTCTTCTTCTCTCTCTCCCTCTCTCTCTCTCTCTCCTGTCCTCTGCCAGCTCCAATTTTCTCTCTCTGCAGTTTCTTGATTGTTTCTATCTCTTGCATGCATCAACCCAGCACACCTAAATCCACCCAACCGCTAAACATACACACATATACATAAAAAGACAAGAAAGACAACAAAACACACACTCTCTCACTCACATATAGATATGATCATATACATGTTGTATTGGGTGTACATGTAATTTAGATCTCTATACATACCAATACAGATAACAGACCAATTATGCAGGGATAAGTTTAATCTAACGTTATCTTTTTACGCTAGATAATCTAATTGACCTTAAAAATGTTCGTAAAAAGTACTTTAAAGGCAGATCCGGTTTAAAACAGATCTCAATCTGAAAAACTCCGTTACCGGCCTATTTTCCTTTATCAATAAAATCTTGCAGAAAATGAAACTAACAGCTCGATATATTTGTAAATGAAATTACACCTAAACTGATATTATTTTCCCGATCGATTATAAGATTTTCTAAGCTGTATTTTATTTGTTTGTCTTTCGAATCGGTGGTAGATAAAACAAATATGGAAAATTAGATAAAAAATTCTCGTTTTTCTTTTATGTTGGACAGGTCTAATATTTCAGTTTTTCTCAATGGTTCAGAAGTCTTGGGGTAGGAAAAGAAGACACAAGACTTTTCCCAGTCGTTTCAAATCGGCTAATGTGTTAAAATAACGCTTAGTGTGCAAGCGGGCATCCTCAAGTCCACCGTTATTATTTAATCCGTGACCAACACCACATATATGTTTCAATGAAGCTTGGGCTCCTCCGTCCTACTTAGTAATCATCCCTACCACCTATGATGGTATATATACGTACCGACAGCGATGCCGGCCCTTTCAGTTCAAATTCGAAAACAACCTGGTTCACCTTCGGAAGCTACACAGAAGGATTACATTTAATTTTTATGTGAGTCTAGAATACAATTACACCCTGAGGTCAGTAATAATTTTCATCACATCTGTGATCATTTAATACGATAAAAACCGTCGATAATGTCTTACATCTTCTCTTAATCCACCTAGGCTCTGATGATGTGCAGGGAAGTAAATGGTGCGCGGATTAATCCTTTGATCCTCGAAATTTAAAAATAAATAAATTATTGAGCACGGATAAAAATTATTATTATGTATGTGTTTTTGTGCGGGGTGTGTATGTGTTTTCTGGGTCTTTATTTTGTGTGTGTGTGTGTGTGTGTGTGAGAGAGAGAGAGAGAGAGAGAGAGAGAGAGAGAGAGAGAGAGAGAGAGAGAATGAGAAGGGGAAAGAAAGAGATAGAATGAGAGAGGAAGAGGAAGAGTGTGATGTAAAGAGATAAAAAGAAATGAAAAATAGGAAGAAAGCAAGAGATAAATAGAAAACCTTAAGGAGAGGGAGAAAGAGAGGGATAAATGATTCAGTTTTACAAATATTGCAGGGTTAGGTCGATTTGACCTTTCTTACACTGAACGAGAAACTAACATTTTACAATTTGAACTTAAATTACTTCTAGATAATAATATGTATATGATAATAAAAAATAAAAAATTAAGCTAAATGCTAAGTAGAACAATAATAATAACCAAATCTACATTTATTTAATTCAGAGAGAGAGAGAGAGAGAGAGAGAGAGAGAGAAAGAGAGAGAGAGAGAAAGAGAGAGAAAGAGAGAGAGAGAGAGAGAGTGAGAGGAAGGGCGAGGGAGGGAGAGAGAGTGAGTGAGACAGACAGAGACAGAGACAGAGAACGATAGAACGAGAGAGCGAGAGAGGGAGAGAGTGAGTGAGAGAGAGAGAGAGAGAGAGAGAGTGTGTGTGAGAGGAGGGGCGAGGGAGGGAGAGAGAGTGAGTGAGACAGACAGAGACAGAGAACGAGAGAGCGAGAGAGGGAGAGAGTGAGAGAGAGGGAGAGAGAGAGAGAGAGAGAGAGAGAGAGAGAGAGAGAGAGAGTAGGAGATAGAATATAAAAGATAGGTAAAAGTGAGAGCGAAACAAAAAATGTATCCCCGTTTAAAAATGCCTAGTGTTTATATGCCACGGGTGTGTTAATTAATCCGGCTGACGTCTTCACATGCCACGGAATCGGTTGAACTTTTCTTCGTTTGGCTTTTGTCGACAAAAAATTATAAAAAGGAATAACGGTCGTGGCAAAACAGAAGAAAGTTATAATTGATCAGTTCAACAGTCAAATTTAGGCAAAAATAAATACCGGCTGTTTATTGTACAATAGAGTTCCCACGCTGCACTTCGACGTTGATTTATTCATCAGATCCCCCTTTTCACTCGGACGGCAAAAACCTCGAAAAGAAAGCTTTTAAAGTAAAATCCCGAAACGGATTAGACCTCGTTCAAATGGCAGCGACTTCGCCCGGAAAGGGTCGAAAGCCGGTGAACCTGAGGACGTCCTACTGGCCGGGGATGAATCCGGAGTTTCCGGTATCTGTCGGAGACCTAGTTCGACCGGGCGAAAGCTTCTCTTCTTCGGTGACTAATTGGCTATTTATGGTGTAATTAGCTCTTTACTTTACACTGCTGAAACGAAATGGACAATTTCTGGATCGAAAATAGTGACAAAATATTTGCAACGTTTCCAACGAAAGCCGACTGCCCAGTTTTAACGTAGGATGCAGATAATCCGTCAATTCAAACAATACTAACTTAATTGACAAGTATACTTGAATTTATAACCGTTTTGTGCTTTATTTTATATTGACCCATATTAAGATTTATTATATTGAAGATTTCGGCAGATCAATGGTCTATTTTATATATTTTTTTAAAAACATTTACATTTTTACACGTTCCTGCTGCCATTAGATGAAGGATCCAATATTGTCAATTTTTTAGTGATGAGATCGCAAGTTTTGAAATTGGAAGTGTAGGTTACAAGCTACACTTTTACTTCACGAACGTGGATATTTTGCAGACGTGGATCGAAAGTTTTTGAATACTTGCCAAAGATTTTCTTTTCATTTGGTTTTCGACCGGGATATCAAGAGAATTTTCAGACAACAAAAAATGTGCAAATTGTTCATCCTGCCAGTGCGCAATGTAATAATTGTAGAAATCGACAAAATTACTTTAATTAATTTTATGATAACGATGTTTCTGGAAAAGTCTTATAGACTTTATGATCCGTGGGTAAATTTATGCACGATCCACTCACAGCATATTAAAAAAATCAGACGAAATTCAAATTTTATAATATAAACCAGAACCCTGGATTTCAACGACTTGCAAAAAATCTACTTTGTATTACCTTTGGGAAACGTTTTAAATACAAAAAATTTAATTTAAATAACAAATAACAACGGGCAAATAGCGATACGTCTTGTTACTATTTTATTATAAGTTAATTATTATGATGTTAATGTCATCCTGCTAATACAATAAAAAGGAAAAGGAGGAGAGGGTGTGGGAGAGGGTGAGGGTAAGGGTGAGGGAGGGAGAGAGAGAGAGAGAGAGAGAGAGAGAGAGAGAGAGAGAGAGAGAGAGAGAGAGAAAGAGAGATTAAACGTTTTATTTAATCACGCAAAGTTAGCTCTCGTGGACCTTTCTTCCACTGAGTAGTAAGAATTTGGGAAAACATCTAAAATCCACTTTCTCTCCCGTAGATGTAAAACCAATCTCTAACTGAGAACAAGAAAGAAAAAGGGAGAGGAGAGATAGATAGAGAGAGAGAGAGTGTGTGTGTGTGAGAGAGAGAGAGAGAGAAAGAGAGAGAGAGAGATTGTTTGGAAAGTAAATTGAAGTTATGGCATTGAGAATCAAGTATAGGGAAGAAATTGTAATTATTTCTGTGGATATTTTGAATTCACGGTCATCCCGAACCTGAAAAACCACTTGACTCTCACATAATTCCTCCTTTGCCTAAACTCCTCGTCTCGACCCCATTTTCGGGTCGTAAAATAAGGTTACTAGCTTTTTGGCTTTTTAAATATATTTTTATCGGCTTTTATTAACACTTTTAGGTTTTGTGTTGACTTAAAAATTAATTTTGTTTTTTGCTTTTAGTTAAAATGAACAGAGTGGTCCTTACAGGAGTTGTCTTATTGGCAGTCATTGCCATTAGTGTAGCGAAAGAAGATGAAAATTCTACGGAAATGGTGAGCATGGAAGAAGACACTTCTGAAGAAAGTAAGCATGACCGACTAACAAATAATATAAATTATTTTTAAACAGTATTTTTTGGCTAAACTAAACTCATTTTTCTAGGAAAAAAGAAGAACGGAATGGCCCAGTTGTATATGTCTGTTATGATGGTCAAGTCGATCATAGGCACGGCTTTGAACGCCCTGAACACTTTAGTCGAAGTGAAAAGCTTCGGGCTTTCCGTAATCGGCACTCTCATCAGTTTGGTTAATATCATTTTGAAACTGAAAGAGCATTTCCAGAAAAACAGCGGGGGAGGATACGAAAGCGGGGGCGGACACGAAGACTGGCGAAGGGTTGCCACGCCCGCGCCCCCGGTTCACTGGAGACGTCCACCGATCAATTATTACAAATAAATTCATTAATTACAGAATCGATCATGTTCCGTGAGTGGAAAAATCACACTAGTCTTTCTTCAGGTACATTGACGCTTTTCGAGGGCCAACGAAAACAAACAACTTAACAGGCATTATTATATTTTAAGTTCAAAATATATTTCAAAAGTTAACTCAGTGTATAAAATGAAAATAATAAGGGGTCGGCGTTTTGAAATATAATTAGGACCAGATGGTCCTTGCGTAACTTACACTAATCAATGCCAAAGATAACTTGTTACAATCGTCGACAGATAATTTCGATTCAATTTTACATAATTTTTAATATAAGTTTTTTTTACAAATATTTTTGTATATACTTATTTATTACAATAAATTATTTATTTATGCAAATATTTTGTTTTTATAGCCTATTCTTTACAAGACAAAACGAGTTTTCCTTTTCCATTCTCTGTTTTCTCATCACCCGATTGTTCCTATATATCTTTATCGTTTTTAATAATTTTCTGCCTGTAGTGGATATTGATATTAGCTGGTTCTACAGTGTTCTAAATTATTTCTTTTATGTAAATACAATCTTGCAGGAAAAAAATCATGGTATGTGAAAACATACCTGACACATAGCTGCACCGGTTTAGCCTAATCAGAGCGCCGCGTCGCGCTTTCAGTAATGAATTTAGAATTTGGTAGTTAAAAAACATTTGGGCCTGTTAGACGCGTTTCTGCTTCTTGCCATCTTCACTTCTGTGTTAGGGATATAAGCGGGGTGAGCTTCAATTCATCAAGGCGCATAGACCCACCGCTGAATAGCAAACCTGCAAGGGTAAGCGGACCAAAACGATCGGAAACGACCGAAGTGCAGGTTCATCAATCTCCATAACTCAAAAAACCGTTATCTACAAAATATAGGTACTAAAAGTTAAAAAAATTTTGGTTGTGCAATGTGACATTTTTCTTTACAAATATATACATTAAATATATTGGTTTAGAAGAGTTATGACTTTGATTAATTTTAATTTTACTACGGTGGAAACTTCCCATGCAGCGCATTGCGTTATTGATCTATTTGATATTCTTTCTATCTCCAAGAGGAAGAAGAGAATAAAGGGTTATCGTCAGCGTGAATAACCATTTTTACGTTATAGGGCGAGGTATTTTGAAAATACACATGGAACTGGATGGGGCCAAGGATAAAGCCTTGAGAAACATCTGGAACAATGTTTCCCGTTGGGAAAGGGATGATCGAAAGGAATAATGTGCAATAAGGAATAGAAAAGGTTTCCTAATCGTTAGAAAAGTGTCCCGCAACTATAAACTATTTCAAGAAGGAAACTAAGTTAAGAAGAATATTATGTTGACTAATAAATATGTTGTCAAATTTCCTCATGTGTCTGCGGGACAATAAATCTATTATTTGATAGTTACCTATCTTTCTGGTCTGCCTATCCTCGCTGATTTTTGTTGGTTTAGACACGTTTCGGCATTTCGCCATCTTCATTGTACGGGAGATATTGGACCATCAAAAACAGCAGTCTCGGTCTGTTTTCAGTATTAGAATTTTTTTTTTAGATTTTCTCACTCACGATTACTCTGGAAAAAGATTATGATTTTGAAGAAGAAAGCAAATTCAGTTGTTACTGCCATGGTTTCGACCTATTTTAAGGTCATCATCAGTACAAAACAATCTTAAATATGTCTACAGATTGACATATTTAAGTTTTTTACAGGCAATCTCAAATTTCCACTCAGTCCTAACATTGCCAAGGACTGTGGTCATCATCGGTTGATCTTCTGTAAAACACTGGCGTTAATGAATTCAGATTTGAAGATTCTGAAAAGAAGAGACTTCCTTTCCTCCGTACTAAAAATATTTTTAAACTTGTAACAACTATCATCAGTAAAAGAAATGCCCCACAGTCACATGTAATTTGAATCTTGGTATGGCCCGGATGAAAAAAAATTGAATTAACTACTAAGCTTTCGACCTATTTTAAAGGGATCAACAGGATAAACCAATCATAAAGAAGTCTGCAAAGTGAAATAATTAAGTTTCTAATAAATACATTGACATTTCTTTGAAGATGGACTCAGTTCCAACACTGTTCTTCATCCGAATCATACCAATATCAGATTATCCGTGAGAAAAAAATTGGTCGATACATCTAACTCTTTGTCTATTTTTATTTAATAATTAATTAATAATTGAAATAATTTAGTAATAAAATTAGGATTAATACAGCAGGAGGTGTTTATTCCGGGGTACGTAGGCTATCGACGAAACCAGACGAAAGAGTTAGCATAAAAGTAGCAAGCAGGAATTTATGATTTTTCCTCTTGAGGTTATCATTTTGATGGTCAGACGCGTTTCGCCATCTTATGTAGTGTGTCTGTATGATTTTTGTTTAATGACAATTCTTCCGAAAGGGGCCCAACTAATAGAAATGACACAAAAACATAATGAAAAACGCGAGAAGGTCAAACGCATCTGAAAGACCAAAATGGCGAGTAAAGGCAGATCAAAACGTTCTGAAGCGAATAAACTACAGTTTTGATAACTTTTTTTTATAAGGTGTGAGATGTGATGTTAGAGGTTTGTACTATACTGCGCCCTTTGAGAGCTATTGTATCGCTATTCTGAACATATAGCACACCGTCCCATTCATCGAAAAATTTGATTAGTAGGTCTGGTTTCAGTAGTTGAATTTCTTCTACAGTTACGTTGTACATCCCAAAACATTTCCTTCTGTGAGCAAATGTGACGCCAGAGTTTGTTAGTTGGTATCTTCTCTGCTTCTTTGCAGAATCTGCACGTGCCGTGTTGTGTTATAACAATCTTCTTCAGATGCCCATTTAGCTGCAGGATCGTGCCAAGAAACCCAGTCAGCTTCCTTTGATGCACTCTATTGTTTCCTTCTTTCCAAAACTTACTAGAAGGTGCTTGAATTGTTTGTGTCTAATGAGTTAATTTTACAATTTCCACATTTTCATTTTGTATTTTTGTCTAAGATACTCGTTGATAGAGAAAATCCTTAGGCTACAAATGGTCTCAGGACCTATCAGCTAGCAGTCTCATTCTTTGCAAAGGCGTCCGTTTTCTCGTTGTCTTAACTCTTTATATGCTTTAATGGCACTTTCAAGTTGGTTTATCTTTACCATAGAAAAGCATGATTGTGACTGATAATTGAAATATTTAAAGTGTTTGAAGTCGAACAGTGGTTGAAGAATCGTTCAGGAGCAAGTTGTTTTGGGTAAAGTCGTGCTCTCTGTAGAGGTGAGTGGCAACCTCCGTTGATATAGATTGTAGATACTCGAAATCTACATCTACAGCGCTGCGACTGAAGTGTAGACTACACACTGTTCACTTCACAGTTCACACTTCACAGTCACATTCACACTGTGAGAAGGTGAACAGTCGTTGTTAACCTTTTGGCAAACTATTCCGATTTCTGCCCCCCAAAAACCTTGACAGGGTAAACAAAAATGTGCGACGTGTGTCTCTACGTGTCCCACGGTGATTAATTCTACACGATTTTTCTTCCATGGTGAGTACGGCCCGAATTGCTTTTCCTCTTTTTAACTATTTTTTTCTGTATTTACCAAATTCCCCGGTCGTTCCGATTGATCGGTTCGACTATTCTTGTCGGCTTTCACGATAAGATCCACTTTCTTCTTGACGCATTTCGAAAGGTGATTTTACTTTTGGTATGCAATCTGCGTTAGTGTTTTGCTGGCAGGCCGGCCTGCATATATTCGAAAGCTCAACTTTTGCTTTCAAAAGTATAGTATTTATTTACTAAACTGGCTTATATGTCAACGACTTAAAAGACAAATTGGTGAGAGTAAGTTAATATAATTTATTCTATTTTATTTAACAAACCAAGCTGACATACATTGTCAATAAATACCAGAGCTAAAACTCAAAAATGCCAAATTTCACATTGTAATAAATAAAAAGGCCTTAAAGCCTCAGTGCTGTTACTGTTAATAACAAATATTTCAAATTTATACCCCAAAATAAAGTCCAATAGAAACAAAAGTATGTATAAATTCTTTACATACTTACATGCTTAATAAAAACTTTTTAATATTAGCCATTTTATAGAATTAAACACATCGAAAGACAACAGAAGTACTTGCTTCGGCGGTACATACACTAAAATTGGGCAAGGTTGAGACGGAAACATGCCTGCTCTGTCAGGAGGAACCATCGGCATAGATCTTTTACGTAAAACGTTAATATGTTTACGATACAGCCACTTTGGTAGGACATTTCTCATACCAAAGGGGATTGATGAAGAGGCACCAAGGAAAGTGCTCAGTTTTGTAAGGAGTAGTGCACTTTCCGGCACTTTTCAGGTGTGGCTTAAACTAAAGGGGTTCCACAATAGACCTGGTTAGGTTGCAGTGTAGGAGAGAATCGTCTTCTGCATTGATCCCCAAAAACCCTTTAAAAATAAAATAAATAAATAAAAAGACAACAGAATAGCCAAAGGATGGTAATAGTAGAGCAGTAGATGAAAAAGATCTGATGTGTTAATATAATACAACGATAAGTTCCTTGTGATATATCATGATGTTTGCAAGCATGATGAAATCTGTGATAAAAACTGACCGTCCTTGTATGTTGGATTGTTCAGTCCACCGACATTGATCGCTACAGATGGTGAAATCCTGGAACTAGCTAGACGGCTAAAGCCAGTGATAAATGTATCAAACAATTTAGGCATGTTGTTAATATAAATTAACTCAGATATTACGCATATTAAATGGTTTACGTACAATTATCCATTCCTCCACATACCTCCTGACCACCGTGATCTGCCCTCTGACACTAAAAACGCCTTAAAAACATGGTTAAAAGAATGTTGCAGCATCAGTTGGCCTGATAGGCAAAGAAGCAAAGTAGCCCTCAGAAGATATGACTCATAGAGGAAGGGTCATCCTCACCCAATTAAGAATAAGTCAAAGCCCGGTATGTGGCTAGCATGTAGAGATTACTTGATTTGTCCCACAATTGAAGCAATACCTTGACTTCTTATAGAGATTGTGTAGAATGCCACTCATTATGGGAATTGTACTTCACCATGGCAGAGTATGTGGGTCCCTTGTTCTGATTTTTAGCGGAAATGGTTGTTTTACTGTATATAATACTATAGGTAGACCTTGTGTTTCCTTGTGTATTATTAATGTATATTTATTAGTATGAATTTGTAGTATGAGAGTTCCATCGACCCTCAAGTACATTAGTTAGAAGTTGATGGTGTAATTACTCCACCTAACTGAGTGAAAGGCATGGGTAGAATATATTTAAGAGTGAAAGAGAGTGGAGTGGGTATTGATTAAGGCTGTGCATTGGGGGCTGGAATCACCTAGCTTCTGGAGCCCAACCTCAATGGGTCGAAGGACAAGACTGAGATCTGACCCCGGTCTGCTAACACTCAGGGTGGGTGATTTTTGAGGCCTGCTATTGTAAATTATACAAAAGCTGGAATTGCTGGCAGGCTGTGATGTACTGTATGTACATGTGAGTGCAGATTTGAACTTTTATACATCAGTAATCAGTAATACAATATATCACATGTTTAAATTGTGAGGTATTTTCTTGTGATCTGAGGGTGATGAACCTTAGTTTGGTTGTTTTCATTTATTTTGATCTGCCTTTGATTGCTTCAATCAGTTAGATGGCTGAACTACAAGGGACATATATTATAACAAAACATAAATGTAATAAATATTATAAAAAGACAAATAAAAGAAAGAAATATCTTGACTTCATTCCAGATCATCAAGTAAACAATAATGGAAAGTAATCCAATTGTGGAAGTGGACTAATAAATTTATAATCAAACAATGCAGAAAATACTGAAAAGCTGAAATGACCAAAATAGTAAAGATAGGCTGACTGAAACAATCAGAAATAACTAAATAAAAAATAAATAAAATAAAATAATAATACCCTTCCACATATTGGCTAAAACCTGTAAAATGATATTCACATATCACACAAAATTAATCACAAAGGGGGCAGCGGTTTAAGTGTTGGCACGGCGCTCATCACTGTAAGGTAAAGGTCCTGAGTTCGAATCCAGTGGCCCTGCATTCAAACCCAACATACTTATAAATTTATTTTTATTTTTAAACACTGGCACCTCGATGGTTCATACAACCTCATAGTTGATATAGCCTCGTAAAAAAATGTTCTTTTTAGTGTAAGATTAATTGATTTGCTCTATCTGCTGTCATTATATTACATAATATTTGCATCAAGCAGACTTGAAGAAATGAAGCTTTCCTATAAATCTGAGTCATTAATTATGTACTTCATAGTATAAAGAATCAAAGCTAATTAGCTGATAAAGATAAGCAGTTTATTTAATAAGTGGATTTCTTAGTTATGAAAACCTTTAAATTTGTAAAAAAAAAAAAAAAATGAAATGGAAGAAAATACAAATTGCGGGGGAATAAACTGCAATGCCCAAAATCGCAATTTAAATAAGAAAAATAGCTCCCTCCAAAACAAAAAAAAAGAAGATAAAGATAAAGAAATGTTATTGTGTTTTGTTTCTTATTATTGTTATGTAGAATTAGTTTATGTATCATATTTGAATGGAAGAATAAAAGGATAAGGATGAGCCAATACTCATGCTGAGACTGTTGCTAGTCTGACTCCATTATTATTATTATTATTAGCCATACAAGCCTACGGGGAATTTTTAAATTATGGAACAAAATTCACAATTCTAATTAAAAAAAGAAACAGAAATAAATTTTATAAATTTATTAAATTTTATGCAATTTAAAATGGGAATTTTGTATGCATTTGGCCTTCCGAATTAAGAATTTTAAAAAGAAAAATTAAAGCTTGGATGGCAATAGGATAAATAAGATTACGAGTGAATGTTTGGAGTCAGAGCTTTATAGCACTCAGAAGAGATATAGCTAACCTAAGATAGAAGGTTTGGATGTTAGGGCGTGAAATGACCTTAGCCGTTAAAACGCCCTTAAAAATTAATAATAATAATAATAATTTGTAAGAAATAATTTTTATACAATTTAATTTTTTTTAGTTTAATGTACAAGAGTAATAATTAATTAGATTCTGCTTAATACTGACAATATTCGATCTAAGTTAATATTAATCAGATAAGAAAATTTCTTTTTATGCACACATATAGCATAGGCATATCTTAAATATGTTCCTGTTGTATGTTCACTGTTCTTCTTCTTTTCTTTTTATTCTTATTTAATATAATTTAAAATTCTTATTGTTTAATTTTTTTTTAATGTCAAAAGTGTTGTCTTAAAACTCATTTGAATTTCTGGTTTATAGATGTGATGGGAGTGAAATGCGGCGGAACCACCTGGCTGGAATACTTGCCATTTCAATTTTCACATGGGTTGTTATCATTTACATGCTGATCCATGATAGGCCTTCTTTGCAGTCAGTGAGTTATCAAGGATTTTATCAATTTTACAAGGGAAATATTATTTTTAGGCGAAGTTGTTTAAGTTATGTAAAATTTAATTTTCAGTTTAATAACATCCCTAATGCCAAGTCCAATCTTGAAGAATTAGAATCTCAGATCAAAGATGATTTTAAAATTAATGCCCAGTTGTGGGCAGATGTCAAGAAAGCAATTGCATCACAAAGTAAGTTTTTTAAATTAAATATTTTATTGTCTAAACATTTATATTATTTATTCATTTTTGTAAAGGAGAGTCACAGAAGGCTGAAGCAGAGGAAAATGCAGCAGCTTATGAGGTGGAAAGAAAAGAAGATGAAAAGAAAATACAAGTAATGTTTGATATATTTTTGTAAAGTAGATAAAATATTTCAAAAATGTACATTTTTTCTATTATTTACAGTCTTTATCAAGGGAAGGTGTAGTTGCAGTTTTAGTTTTCGCTTGCTCACGTCCAACAGTAACTAGATGTTTAGATCAACTCATCCGCTATCGACCGAACGCAGAACAGTTTCCAATTATAGTTTCGCAAGACTGTCAACACCAAGCTACATCTGATGCTATCGATGCTTATTCAGAACAAGTTTTTCACATTAAGGTAAAATTGACGATATCATCAGACTATCGTTTTATTTTTTTTAAATTATTATTAATTTTTTTTTGTAATGTTGTTTTATTTTTTCAGCAACCAGATCAAAGTGAAATCCATGTTCCTCCGAAAGAAAAAAAATTTAAAGGGTATTTTAAAATAGCAAGGCATTATGGATGGGCTTTAAATCAAACCTTTTTTACCTACAATTTTTCAACTGTTATTATCATTGAAGGTAATTTACAACAACTTATTGAAATTAACTAATTCTGAAATCATTCAATAATGGAAATACAGAGCTATACAATACTATGAAGATTCCTTGTAATTCATAAAAAAATTACTAACTAATTAAAAAAATTCAATGTATTTGTACTTCTTATTATATTTGAATTTTTTTCACACTTCAAGGTTTTAAAATGTGAGAAATAGCCCGCCTGAGGCTTGTAGGATCTATAAAAACTTAATTATTTTTAAAAATTGTTTAATATGTTCGTTATGGGTGTTGTAACAAAATTTTGAAGCAAGCAAGCTTCATGTTGCAAAGAGACTTGTGCTGTTCATTGGAAAGACTCATCAGAATGACACCTGCAACGAAAGTGTTAGCTGTTTTTCACATATTTAAGTGTTTGTAAATGCATAAATATTCAAAAAGTTCACTATATGTTTGTTAATCTTGCTCATTTGAAAATTTTGATGATTCATGTTAATCCCTCACATCCTTTAAGGCACAAATTAACAGGATTCTACCATATTTGGATGATTGAAGATTCATCTATGTGCCCGAAACTGTAGAAAATAATTAATTATATAATTGTTTTCCTCCCAGATGATCTTGACGTCTCCCCAGATATTTTTTCGTATTTCTCCGCGACGCTGCCACTCCTTCACCAGGACCCGACACTCTGGTGCGTCTCTGCATGGAACGATAACGGGAAACAGGAGTTGATAGATATGAATTCGCCGGAGCTGCTCCATAGAACTGATTTTTTTCCAGGTCTCGGGTGGATGTTGACAAAAGAAATTTGGGCCGAATTGGCGCCCAAATGGCCTCTAAGGTATGAATGCCGTTAAATAAATTGATGTCGGATTTAAAAATTAACTATTTTAGTTACTGGGATGACTGGATTCGACAGCCGTCGCAGAGAAAGGGTAGAGCTTGCATCAGGCCTGAAATATCAAGGACCAAAACCTTTGGAAAAATTGGGGTGAGCAAGTAAGTATTGGTAACTTTATTAAAAAAAAAAAAAATCCGTTCTTAAAACTTTTTGTAATTTTAGTGGGCTCTTTTACGAAAAACATCTCAAATTCATTCACCTAAACAAGCAGTTTGTTCAATTCACTGAAAAAAATTTAACTTATTTGCTCAAGGTAAGGTTTCATAATATTTTACACCCTGCAAGAAAAATGTTGACATTAAGTGATTATTGCAGGACAATTATGACACTGCATTTGTCAAGGCTGTATATGAGAGTCCTCTAGTGTTTCACCATGAATTACGAGCTGCTAAAGTCGGAGGGCCACCTCAAGGCCCTGTGCGGGTTTTATACGATACCAAAACTATGTATAAAGTCGCTGCAAAGTCTCTTGGCCTAATGGATGACTTTAAGGTACGCTTTGTATTGCGTGTGTGCATAAGTTTTTTCAGTTTTCAGCAAAAAGTCAAACTTTTATAATATAAATGTATTTTATTTTTCTTCCAAAATATAATTTCCTTTGTTTTCTATACATACTGTTTATGTTTTGGAAACACGATTGTGTCTATTCAGGGCTGGACATGTTTCCTTCAACACTGACCCAAGACGGTCTAGCTGGGCTCAACATACCTTTGCTGTAAGGGCATGGTAAATAACTCACCAAGGTTGTGGGTCCTTACAAGGAGGCATTCCTGCTCTTGACATCAACAGCTGCCCTTTAACAATTTTGTAAAGGAGTCACTTCTCATCCTAAATATCAAATAGGACAAACCGTTCTGATTTATTCTTAATTACATGTGAAACCCAACAAGCCACGCTGTATTCCTTGTTCTGAAGGGACAATTCATGATGAATCCATGGATTGAGTTCACAACATAACCCAGTGTTCGTTTTCTTTTTTCTTTATCTGAAATCTCTCTGATAGCTCTGCTTTAATTAATTGGTCTTCACCCTCTAATAAGTTGTTGCATTTAAGATCATTAAACATTCCACATCAAGGCTGGCCTTTGATTCGTTTCTCTCCACTACGAATACATCAGAAATGTTGACTCACACGTTCAGTTATTACATTACCACATAAATTACACAAAGATTTTGGCAAGCATCTGTTGTTCTATGCCCAAGATCGTCAAACAGCAAGCACTACCTCAAATGAATTTTCCATGTAAGCGTCGCTTTATTTTAGATTCTTTCAATAGGGCTTTTCCTAGCTAACTAGCAGGCAATAATGAATCACCTTTATAAATATGAAAGCAGAATTTTAAAAAATGCACACGTCCAATAGTTAAAATTTGAAACTCTGATATTCTAACTCTTTTTGTTTAGAGCGGAGTACCAAGGACTGGTTACAGGGGTGTAGTGAGTTTTTTCTATAAAGAAAGGCGAGTCTACCTCGCACCTCAGGCAACATGGAAAGGCTACGACACCTCTTGGAGCTAGCGATTAAAACATTGGATTTCAATTGATAAAAAGGTAAGCTATTAACATTTGTACATCAATAAACTTGTTGATTTTTTATTTTATTTTTCCAGTGAGAAACTTGTATAGAATGTTGACTAAATCCTCCCCTGTGCCTTGCAGCAGTTGGGACTTTTATGTGATCCATAGTGGATTACATGATTTTAAAATAAATACTACAGCATTTACTGATATTATTTAGTATCAACAGCCATTTATATTTGTTTCCTGTTTTTTTTTAAAGGCATATAAACTTGAAAATCTGCCTTTGAAAAACCAAATTATCAAATATACATTTGTATGCGTAGGCTTCATTGGTAAATTACTTTTCTCTTTGTTCTAAAAGGCTCAGTTTATTTCTGACTCAGTTAGGCAAATATAAATTGATGTTATACAAAATTATAATGTTGTTAAATCCCATTTTAACATTCTCAACATTTAATTAACTTTAAAACATCTATAAAACTTCTCAAAGTGTCAATTGAAGACATTTTCTGTATTAATTTGTTTTGTTTAAACAGGCATGTACAAATATTCTTTTTGTAAAATGTAAACTGTTTAAAAACCTAAAACCAAAGTTATAAATCTCCTTTAATTAAAAGATAATATATATGTAAGAAAAAGAAAAATCCCTAAGAAATGAGATTCACAAAATTTATTTTGACTGTTCTTCCTGCAAACTATAGAAAGTGATAATAAATTCCCAGATGAGAAAGATTCTTTTATTATCAAAAATTTGAAGGAAAAAAATAGAAATAATAAAAATCTGCATTTATTACTTGTGTTTATATATGTTTGCTAATTTCTAATTTTTGTTGTGATTTTTTTTAATATAATGATTTAATTGAAGTTTTTATACTGGTTTTTGTGTTTATTGTTTTGGGAGGTTATTTTTTTAAATATAAATTTTAATTGCAATTTGCTTTTCGCGCAATAAATGACATTGTCATGACAAAATTTATAATAGCACACATCACTTTCCAACGCTTGATATCAATAGTAGATGATATTGTAGGCTACACTTGTTTATAATTATTTCTTTTTTTTTTCGTTACCATTGTTTTCAGTTTAAAGCCCAAAGTATTCTCTTAGGTTGAAAACTAGTATTACTCACTACTATTCCCCACATGTGTTTATTTATTTAAAAGGCTCTTCCAAAAAACTGATTTTAGTTACTTACTCTGTGATAAATGTACATAGTTATCAATATTTATACTGATTATAATTTGTTTCTTTAATTATTAATTGTCTTCTGTCTTCCTTGGAAATAAACGGTTTATTAATTTATTGTATTATGTAACATGTTCTCACAAGATTATTTAATAAAATAAAATCTTTTGTTGAAGAGGATCTAAAAGTTGATGAAATCACTGACAAGGAAATAAAACTATTTAATAAATGTTATTGTTTTTTTTTCTTTGTATGCTTTGGTATCTGTATTCACTATAAGTTTGTACATCATGAGCCATAAATTAAAATATATACTTGCTCATAATTTCTTATTAAAAAGTAAATAAATGAATTATTGTTCTTAGAAGAGAAACTTTTATCCTTTTCTTTATTACGTATTCTTAGATTTTTCAAGAAGAAACATTTAATTCCCTATTCCTGAAATAGCTATCCATTTTATTTATTCTTTATTATTATTTAATAAGAAATTGTGAGCTAGTTTATTGTAATTTTCAATGCTTTGTATACATTTATTTTTCATCTTTTCTTTTTCAATTATGAATACGAGCTGTTGGCATATTTCTATGCTCAACATCTATTCAGATGTACATAATTGTAATCTAGATAAGTTTGGAATATAAGGAACGGAGAATAAAATTGTGATCTTAAATGGTTTTTAATTTTTTTTGTGTTACCTGAAGTCCATCAACATTCTGGCTGAAGTTTTTATTTTTTTGTTGACGGCTATCAACCCTAATGGTTATTTAAGCCCTGTTACAGTTTTGAATAAAAAGTAGGAGGCCACGAGACGCAGGCATGAGGCCATGGCCCAACCATCGCCACCAAACAGGGGGGGGGGCCCGGGGACTTCCCTAGTCGTCTCCTCTACTTTTCATATATTTTGAAACGTTACGGAGTCCTTTGTCTGGAATGTGGATAAAAACTATTTACAGTGTTGCCTATAATAAGTCCACATCCCCTGGCCCAGCAACAAGTCCCCGACCAGCGATGACTCCCATCTCTTCAGGTTTTTGTTAGGGATGTTTTTGTTTTGTTAGGGATTAATATGAGAAAGACAGTGAAGCTACGTTATAGTTTGGTTTGTTTTATCTTTCTTTGTAGTTTTGTTTTTCAAGAAATGTATGATTTTTGAAGTGGAGTCAGCATTGTCTTTAAGGGCAATTTTAATGCCAGTAGGTATACCAAGTTTGGTCCTTTGTACTGAAAATAAGCTTCATTTGCAGATAATGTGTTTGATTGTTAATCTTACTTTGCAGTTTTGGCACTCGGGGGGGGGGGGAGATATATTACACATTAAATGTCCATGGGTCAGTCTCGTGTGGCCAATGCAAAGTCTAGTGAGGGTTGTTTCTTCTTTTCGGCATTCTCGTATGGAGTTTTGAACATCTTTTTTAAATCTCTGATAATTTATTGCTTATGCCTGACCAGCCATTTTTCCAGAGAGGCCAAATTTGTATTTTTATATGGTTTTTGTAATCTTGCGGCATAGTTTTGTTAAATGGGTACCATCATTTATGGCTTTTTTGGCCAATTGATTGGCCTTTATGTTGTCTGGAATATCGAATAAGCATCCATTTGAGTGAATGCCTGTGTACATGCCACCGTAGTTCTTATATTCAGTAAATATCTCACCTGGGAACACGTACTGTAAAACCTGCCCTTTTTAGGGCCAACCCAAGGTGAGTGAGTGCGTGCAGTACCAATGTAGGAATTTGGTTTGTTCAGTGAATGCCTCACCTTCCTTCAGTGCCTAAAATAAATCGTTAAATCAGTCTACATTTTTCTTGATTTAAATTAATTTCTCAAAGCTAAAACATATAAGTTTCATAAAAATCAATTTCTCTGATGGACCCATTACTAACTTGATTGTAAAAACCATGATTGCGCATAATGATAATGGATATTCAATTTTCATACACTTCTATTTGATATTGATTTTGACAATCTATCATGTACAATTTGAATTTTCCATACTGACATGTTGAGAAAACCATTTTTAATTTCAAACTGGTTAGTTGGTTATAAAATTTCATTTCTATTTCCATTTTACTTTTGTAAAATTATGTGTATAATGCCTGTGAGGTACAATGGATGTAAAGACCACCGAAAAAATGGTAAATATGGTTATTGAGCATTTTATGCTGCTTAAATATTATTATTCTTAATTTTAGGAGGTACCAACTTCACTTCCACATTTTGTGGTGTGGTGACGACCAGCATAGCGATGACTCTCATGTCAATTTATATATACCAAGTATTTAACCAAATTCGTTCTTGTTCAGTAGATAAGAACTGTCCTGGATATTATATCAGTCTAACTGATGCTTGTTATTGTTTCACTTTGCTTTTTGCAGTTCTTTTTAGTAAACATTTCAGTTTGTGCAGTATTTTAAATGACACACTAGACGATTTTATCTATGCCAATGAACATATTTCAAAAAATTACCAATTCAAATGTTTTTCACAAATTGTGATGATCAATGCTTTGATATTTGTTGATTTACTTAGAAAATGTATTATGGAATATGACCTGTTTGATTTTAATAGCTTAAATGTTTGGATTTTTGTGAATTTTATCAGAAATCTTATTTATTCCGTCGATGCTTTTATTGTCAGTTTCTTCGCCATCCTAGAAATGAACATGCAATGTGTTAATGAAAAAATCAAGGGTACACTAGTAAGCAGAAACCCTGAAAACTATTTTAACTTTTATGCTCAACTCCACTGGAAATTCACTACTACGATAAAAAAAACTGTAGATTATCTTGGACCGATTCTATTCATCACACTCGTTTTTAAACAAATACAGATTATAGGTATGATTTATTTCACACTCCTCAACTATATCAGCGACTTGGGAAACAATTTGTTTCAAGCCTTCGATTTACTTTTACCCGCTGTAAATTTCATTTGGATCTGCTTTAGTTCTTCACAACTAACTGAGGAAGTAAGAAATTCTTTTACCTTTATAACTTTTTTAAATGAAAATGAACAATAAATTTTTTATGTTTTCAGGCAAAACAATGCATGTTTATTTTCCAAGACTTGAAAACTGTTAATGTTACCAACCTCGAGTTGAAACAAAAGGTTTGTACTGCACTAGACATTTAATATGTGTATAATTTACTTATTTAACTCAATTTTTAGATAGAATATTTTCAAGAATTAAATCACTACAGAGGTTTTGATGTTAATGCAAACAACTTTTTTGTTGTCCGTCTTGGTCTTATAATTAAGGTATTATCGTTTTTGTTGGAATTTTTTACATCCAACTTCATTTTTATACAATGTTAATGTAAATTTATCAATGATTGTCCAGGTAGTCAGTGTGACGTTGACGTATGTTGTGGCAGTTGTACAAATGATACCTACCACCAGTAATTTAAAACATTAATATCTCATCAATTGGGGACATCGTATTGCAATAGATAATTATAAAAAATTCAGAAGGGAGCTCTCTGAAAATTTGAAATGAAAATGATTAACATAAAAATTGCAGTTGGTCTCAAAACGAATACATTTTTACTCTTTAGACAGCCACAAACTCAAAAAATGTTTGAGGCTTTGCAAAAAATAAAATTATGACAGAAAAAATTGTTTAAAAATTAAAAAAATGTACAATAGATATTGTAAAAAAAGAAATCAAATATAAATGTTGTTTTGTTAATTGATCAATCTATAATGTGGGTAATACACAACAAACACAACAAAATTATTTTATAATAAATACCTTTGTAAGCCGGTTCCCGTCTTAGCGATAAGTTTTATTTGTTAAAATAAGAACAAATTAAGGTAAACGATGGAAGGGAACAAAGGTTGCAAATCTGTAAACGACGTGACGTCCCCCTCAAATCTGTCAAACATAACTTGGAAAGTGAAAGTGGAAAGTGGAAGGTGGACAGATAGATAAGAACGTCGAAGTATGTGGCAGACCCAGGCTGGACCCACGTCTTGTTTCCCACGAACCTGGAGAACATAAAGTAGCAATAGCTGGACAACCGATCAAATAAATAACTATCGTCTAATTATTTAATGCTGAAGGGTTGTCACAAGGTCAAAAATATGTAGCCACGGGGGACATCGTAAATTGGGGTCGTGTCAACCCTGTGCTCAACACCCGTCTTCGCTGGCCCACCCGCGGCGTGGGAACTCCCCCGACTTTTGAGTTTCCTTTCCACCCCTACTCCGGGAGAGACCCGGTATAAAAGGGATGACTGGGAAATCAAAAGTCAGTCAAAATCAAAGACTCACGCCAGGCAGTCAAAACCAGAGACTCACCCCCTAGATTCAAGACCAAGGACCAGAAGGGAAGCAGCCACGCTCCAACTGGGATTCAACAAGAGGACTCAGCCAGCCAGAGCCAGCGAGGATCAGCCGTTGCGACCCATCGAGCCAAGTCAACGGTCGAGAGAAAAGATGCTGTGGACACTAATCATAGCGAGCGTCGTTTGTGGTATGTCCCTTTGTTGATAGACTCATCCCAGATTTAGAGTTGTGGCTGACTTGTAGATTAATTAAGATTCTGTGGTTTGGGTACCGTTAGGAGACGGAATTGTGTACAATAAATGTTACTGAATATGCTCTCTGGTTTATTGAATTCTAGACAAGAATAAGTACCTTCCCCTACGCAAGAATAAGTAGCGACGCGCTTACGCCGACTTATCTCTTGTCGCGTAGAGAAAAACAAGCGAATATTGAGAGATTATTCGGCCGGCGCGCCGTCGTCTGCTTACCTTAATTATATATAAAGAAGGAGGTTTATGGGCCAACAAATAGCTTAGTCATCACTGCCCTTTTCTGGTCTTTCATGTGTATTGTGGATTAAACTGCAGCCAGCCTTGTTCTGGGTACTGACTCTGCTTTTATCTGTATATGTCGATACTGTAAAGATACATACAATTTATATACACATTACCACAAAAATAGAAGTCTGGCCTCATTCACTCCCACAGAGTACACGATATTCCTCAGGGTGGGGTTAGATAACCCCTTCCTTTCACGCTAATAAATTTCATTCATTCCAATAAATTAACTTAGACACAACACAAACACACATAAACACTGGTAGAACAAAGGATTGTAAAAATTGAATAAACAGACTTATTTGTTTACAGAACGATAATGACACATACATAAAATGGATATGAAAATAGTACATAAACTGATGTAAACATTTATATATTGTGTGAAGAAATTAACTGAAAAATAGTACATAAACTGATCTAAACATTTATATATTGAGTGAAGAAATTAACTGATTTTTAAAAATACCACCTGTGTGCATTAACTTAGTGATGAGGTTTTCTTTTATATAATTATTCTTACAGACATTGAAGAATTTATTTGCATCTGGGATGAGACCTGGTGAATATTAAAGTCTAATTTGAAAAGTAAATAAGGAGACTCCACCTTACTAGTTGCAAGTTTATAAAGAAAGAAAAGATCGAAGTGAACACTTATCTTTTCTAAAGTTATGATATCAAAGGATTTCAAAATATTAGTCATGTATAGCAAAGGGGAATTTTAAGTTTGTAAGCTGCATATCTTAGAAATTTACTCTGAACCCTTTCAGGTTGTTGAATTTGTTTATCTTATATGGGATCCAGATAACAAGGAATAATCAAGATGGTATCTGCTTACCTGCTACCTAATAACAAACTCTCATCAGATCTTCCTTTTAAGTCTGGCATTCCTCAAAGTGAAATTTTAGGACCGGTGTTGTTCAGGACCTCCATTCTTGTTTAAATTACTCCAAATTTCACTTATATGTTGACAATACCAAATTCTATACACAATTCTACTCATTAACAAAGTCCTTCCAAAGTTAATTGAGCTTTAAACAATGGTCTCAAATTTAACCCACTTTAAATCCCAATTGTCAATTATTTACAGCACACATCTGCCAACTGAGTGTTTTCCTTCCATTCGGTTGCTCTTTAATACCCCTTATAACACCAGATTATCTTGCGTTGATTATTAAGGCTTTGTTGCTAGAAGGGTGAATGGGACTTTAAATGCACTTTGGAAATATTAATTTATCTCTCTGACACTAAAACTTAGGCTAGTCAAAACTGTTACTTTACCATTTTTTACTTACTGCAGTACTATCTACTCTTCACTTAATCACACATCTACTAAAAAAACTTAGAATACTTTGTAATAATTGCACAAGACGCGCTTCTGTGGAATTCTGTTCTGCGGCATATTAATTCAGCCCACCCTCTTTGAGCTTTTAGGCGTGAAGTTTTCAACTTTTTTACAAACAATCCTTATATTGGCATCAGCTATATTATTTTAAAGAGATGCTTTGTTTTGTAATCTCTAATCAAGCTCCTACGTTCCTAACAGATCTAGTCCTGTTCTTCTCCTATGATTGAAAGGTTCCTCACGCCTCTCTTTTCTCATGCTTTTCTCTCTCTTATTAGTACAAAAATCTTTAACTATGCACCTCTCCACACCCTCTGTGCTTTGAAATCATTATGTAATACCTAAAAATTATCTGAGATTCTTAATTTATTTTATTGATTAACTTTTCATTCCCATTTTTTCTCATTAATTTTTTTCCCACAGCAGTGTCCATAACACCTTGATTTGACCAAACTACATTAGATTATTTAGTAGCCACCCTCTTTACAACCTAAGCACCGCGACCAGTATTGCTCTATTGTGCATTTAAAACTGTGCTATCTACTAGTAATTAATAACTTGGTCAAACTTCAGAACATGATCTGAATGCTATTACCATTTCCTTCTCTCTTCTATACTTTTCCTTTTTACCTACTTCTCTCTTTCATTCATATTCATGTTAATATCATACAATTTTGTTTATTATTTTTTTGCATTATATTTTGTAACTTTATGTTATTTAATTAATTTATATTGTTCTACTCACTGTAAAGGGGCCAAGCTTTTTGTGAAAATGTTTTTTTCATTTCTCTTTTATGACGTCATAGTTGAAGAAATCGAGACGATATGGCGTTCCTGTAATCTGTTGATGTAACCCTGTAACCTTCCAGTTTCTTATCGTGTGTTTATACATGGTTTTTAGGCCTTCGTCCAGAAAAACGTTTTCAGTTAATTTTACAAAAGAAATGAGATGATTTTTGTAAATATCCCAATTTAAATTCGGACCCTGATGAAATCTAGTTGATTTCACTTTTCCAATAGAGTTCTTCCAATCGAATTATGCGATGCCTTTGTACAGATTCGTTGTTCCGATGCAATTTTACATTGGTGATCCTTTTAGTTTTAAGCGTTTCGATTTATATATTTGTTATGGTCCACATCCAGATGTCGACCCGTTTCAACCCGGCCGTCGAGATCGAACCGTTGGATCGGATATTTAATTTCAACCTGTCTCTGGACAAACTGGTGCACAGGACACACAAAAGATACCTGAGTTTTATGTTAGATTCGTCTTTCGTGCAGCGAGGCCTGAAAAAACCGTCTCTCAGGTGAGCTGGTGTTCATGTTTTCCCATTATAGTTTTAGTGCCTGTGGTGCAGGTGGTCAATTTTTACGAATTAAATTAAACTGACATGCTATTTTCAACAAACGACATGTCATATAACCCGTATAAACTAAAAACAATGATAATAATAATTAATACATAATTGATTGGATAGGTTTTACATGTGGAAGTGACAATTGCATTTCTTAAGATTCATCACAATGATTATTTCGAGATCGTGAGATGCGATCTGGTGTGATGTAAGTTTTGAAAAACATTTTCTTTATCGTGCCAATGTTTCGTTCTTTATTGAGATCATCTTCAGGGCTCAAAGTGTTTGTTTTCTGTGTAGACGTGTCATCACTGTGTGTCATGTTGAGAGGTTTTTCTAAACCTATGTCACACCAGACTGTATCTCATGATCTCCAAATAATCATTAATTAACGATCACTAAACACCACACATTCATCACAATTGAACATTCATAAGTAGAGGTCAGACTGGTGTTAAAGAGTATCTAATATATTTGTCATTAATATAGAAATTAAATAGGATGGGTGAGAGATATCCACCTTGTGGTACACTTGATGTAGCACTGAAATCTTTTTTTCCTTTCAGTAGATTGGGGATGAGGCCAGAATCATTCCAGAAACCATGATTCTGGCCTCATTCCAAATCTACTGAAAGAAAAATATTTAAACTGAGAAGGCTGATCATCACTGAAATCTTTTGAAAAGAAGTGGTTCAGTTTCACACTTGTTTCCGATTAGAAAGATTAAACCACTTTAGTGACAGAGTAGAAAAGCCTATGGAGTCTAATTTATCTAAACTGCTCAAAAATGAATAGGGATATTGCCAATTTTTTTCCCTAGCATTTTTATTTTATTTTTATTATAAATTGCATTAAAATTTATTATAAATTGCATTAAAATTTATTATAAATTGTTTTTTTACTGAAGGAAAATTTAATTAAGTGATTTTGAAAATAACAAAATAAAAGGTTTAGTTCCATAATTTTGTTTATTGGACACAATATTTTTTTTAAACAATTAATACCGTAATTAATAAATAATTAATTACACCGTAATATTAAAAAATTAATAAAAATCCTCCAAGGCTGCCGGTACGCAGATTTGACTTTCTCTGATGTCTCTTCTAGTAGCATAGATCGCAGCTTCATCGGCATTTGCAGCCACGCTTACTTTTCCAGGATTTGGGAAGTCATAGAGTAAGATATTAAATAGGATGGGGGGATACGACAGATCTTTGTGGTGTGCCAGGTTTTCCTGCTGATGTGCTGTGATTTACCCGTACCTACAATTTACGGTCTTTAAGGGAGCAGCTTATTACATTGCACATGTGTATTGGTAGACCAATATTTTTTAACTTGAATCAGAACAATAAAGTGCGACTAATCTTTTCTCTCTAGATTAAAAATAAATTATTCTTTTTATGTAAGGCCTTGGTTGAGATGAAAAAGTCAGTTACCAGTGGGATCCGAACCCATGACCTTCGGCTCCTGTGCTTATATAAAAATCATTCAATTAATTACTTGAACTTATATAAAAAGAACAATAAATTGAAATAAGTAATTTGGTCAATTGACCACTGAACATAAATGGATTAAAACTAAAGAAAATCAGTTGCATCTTTTCCAGAGCTAATTTGTCGTGTGATGTACTTGGCTTTTTAAATTGTTCTCTTTCATGAAACAATAAATTAAGTAAAAAATTAATTATAATTTTTTGCTTGAGTGGTTCGAAGTCGAGATCTCACCTGGGCAGACATTTTGGCCAATGACGAACTTAGTTTTTGTTACAGAATCGAAGTCTTGGGTGTGCCGTGACGATCTATGATGGTTTGTAGCAGTTTAGGGTCTCAATTAAAGAGATAATGGTCAATTGTGATGTACAATGGCTAGAAATAGTCAGTTTATTGCTCTGCTACTGCTATTTAAAAGGAACCGCCTTTTAACAGCTTCCTTAATAGATAGTCAACTCAAACGATCTGTAATGTAAGGGTGAGCTCTAAAATGGTCATCAGAGAGCTTCAAGAGAATAGTCTAGTCTCTTGGCATCGCACATCAAGTTCTCTACTACCAGAGAGGCATTGAGTAGAAAGGTGACTATTCGCGTATAGCACCTAGCTTAAACACTCGATCAATGGGAAGCTGTTTTCTTCACAGATGAATGCTGGTTTGGTTTGTGACAATCAGATGTGGTGAACTTGCTTCATGTGCAATGCATCCCTTCACCCTAATAAATTACTTTCATTCCAATAACATAAACACAACACCCGATATAAATCTAGAAGTCTCATCACATTCACTCCCCCAGAGTACTCTCTCACACTACACAGTCATGCTATGGCCAAGAATAAGCTTTGTCTGGGAACAAAAGTAAAGAAAACTGGCTAAACAAGGTGTGAATGGTTTTCTACTTTTACAGAAATTATATTCAATTAAGTCAGAAAGCATAAAATGTACCATTACACAGGAGAGGATAAGTAAGTGATCAAAAAGTCTTCAACTAAACTGGATAAGTAGTATCACTCTTATCTCTGAAAATCACGTATGAAGTATAATTTTGTAATTATATACATTTAAATAGCCTTTTTAAATCTAACCTATACTTATTTACATACTTTTTTTTATTTAGAACCAAAAGCTTAATAACTCGCATCTCTCATCTCAGTGGAGGATATTTAAGAATTGGTGGATACGCTGCAGATTTGCTGGTTTTTTCGATTATGTTTCAATCGCCTGGTGATCACTATTTGAAACCCGATGGAGGGTATTGCTCTTTCGAACAAGTTATGTGCCATAATTCGAAGCATTTAAGGAAATTTGCCATGTCGGGTAATTTATTTGTTTATTAATATTTACTTATAAACAGATGAATATAATAAAAAATCTAATAGAATGTGTGAATTCCTTCATGTTATAGCTGACAGCTGGACTGATATCAACTTATTTACCAATCAGACAGGCTTAAAGCTTATTTTTAATCTCAACGCCTTGATGAGAGGAGACCGCAGATGGAATTCGAGTAATGCTGAATTTTTGATGGACATTGCATACGCAAATCAGCATGAAATTGATTGGGAGCTGGGAAATGGTTTGTATCTTTATTGTATTAATTAGCTTGAACATAAAATACTTTAAAATATTCAGACTTTATAATATATATCATTTTATCATATTAACAACATAAACTGAGTAATTGGTAAAATATCAATATTGCATACGTTTTTTAAAGTTGTTTCTTTGTTGAAATAAAATAAATAACTAAATAAAGACACAGATTATAAAATATAGATATATGCACATTGTATACATGTATGTACTAAGACTAATATATACATAGTATGCTGTTGCTTATTTCAATCAATTTATTTAAAATAATTCCTTTCATTAAGGTTTTTTGTGGTTTAATACTGTTTCAGACCAAGGTGAACACAAATTATTTTGACATATAATGTTAAATTTTATTAAATTTATTTCAAACCATTTTACAGAGCCCAATTCGTACCCTTTTAAATTTGATGCCGAAGTCACTCCTGAAGAGTTGGCTTATGATTTTGGCACTTTGAGGCAACTTTTGAACAAATACACCATTTACAAACAATCGCTACTGATAGGTCCTGATATCACACATCCTCGCCCTTCAAAACTCGGCCCTGCCAAATATTTAGAGGAGTTTCTGGTTTCTAAACCAGAAATAGATGTAGTTTCATGGCACCAGTAAGTTCTCATGCAAAAATCCTGGACTACAATATTTAACTTTATAACTATTTCTTATAGCTACTACACTGGGTCAAATGCGACTGTCCAGGATTTTTTGAATGTAGAGACGCTCAACAGTTTTCAACAGTCTGCGCGAATTGTTAATGAAATCGTGAGGCGTCAGGCACCTCAGAAACAAATATGGCTGAGTAAAAAAGATTCAACATTATTTAATCTTTTTATTTTCTTTGTATTTCAATTTACTTTTGTTTTGTACATTTGCCACTGTAGCGGAATCAGGTTCAGCTTATGGTGGAGGGGTAGAAGGTCTTTCAGACAAATTCATATCTAGTTTTTTATGGATGGACAGACTTGGATCAGCAGCCAAAAACAACATATCAGTCGTAGTTAGACAATCTCTTTTTCATCCGTTTTATTCTCTTCTAGATGAAGATACCCTCTTCCCAAACCCTGTGAGTTACATATATTTTATTCAACGATAAAATACGCCTTTTTCAATAAAATCCTTTAAATTCTAAATAAATTTAATGAATTTTTCAGGATTATTGGGTGAGTGTACTGTTCAAAACATTCGTAGGACAGGGAGTGCTAAATATAGACTGCCTCGATGAGAATTACGATGAAACGTTACGAGTCTATGCACACTGTGGTAAAGGGAAAAGGAAAAACCCTGTCCTGTTTGGTTTAAACATTAGCAATCATTCTCAAGGAATTGGCCTTAAACTGAATACCACTGGCAATTTTTACTCATTGACGACACCGCATCTCGCATCATCGTAAGTCTTATATTTACCGTACTTATTTAATAAAGTCAGTTAATGTTTATTTATTTTTCTAGTGTTGTCCATCTTAATGGGAAATTGTTAGAATTGGTATTTTTTGATCAACTTCCAAGTTTCATTCCTGTGAAAATTGTTGTCAACAGCAAAAACCCTGTTCCCATCCTTCCATATTCTTTGTTTTTCTTAGTTCTTGATATTAGTGTCCCTGTGTGCTAATAAATAAAATTGTTTTTAATTAGATTTTTTTCCTTTAAAGTATGAAAAAAGTTGTGATTAAATTATTAAATTAAAGTTGTGACATTATAAATGCCAAGTTGCATTACAAGTACCTTTTCTACAACCAATGCACAATTAAATTTAATAAATGTTTTTTGTACTTACCATGTTACTTAATAATTTTTAATGTTATGTGGGAACAAATACACTAATGTGATTTATTTTATAATGACACAGATATAATTGTATGTTGTATTGCATTGAAAAACTATGTATAGGATGTATAATTAGAGTATATAATTTGTTTTAAAGGGTAGATCTGTTCTTTGTCAGCCCTATAATTTCTGCACTTTTCAAAAAAGTTAGTGATAATCAAATTTAAACAAAACAAATAATTATTTTTTTAATTCTTACTGGTTATTATTCAAAAAGTATTTTCATCTATCTAGTCTTGTTATTTTGGTAATAAATTGAAGTGTTTTTCCTAAAATTATCTCATTTGAATTATATTTTTATGTTATTTTTTTACAAAACAAGAAAATAAAGAAATTAAATTTGTGTTTTAAATTATTAACCCTTTATAATATATTGGGATTGTCTGGAAAATAATGCAGGTTTTCATGTTTTCTTTCAATTACCCTCTATATAATAAACTGTTTACATTTGATGGATTATTTTTGTGTAATTTCATCTTACAAGTTTAAGCTCGTTCGGAATGGTGCTCAAACGGCCAGATGCATTAATGAAGTCTGGGGTGATGGCAGTGTGAGTGAGAGCACTGTTAGAGATGGTTTAAAAATTTTCGAGAGGGGAAATTTATCCTTGAAGACAAAAAAGATTTTGGAAGGATTTCTTCCCTAGATGATGTTCTATCAGTTTTGGTCAAAGAAAAACCCAAACGTTTGAGAACTTGAACAGTTAGCAAATCGATCGTTGCTGTAAGGCAATTGGAAAGATGAAAAAGCTTGAAAGTTGGCTTCTTCATGCATTAAATGACCGCTAAAAAATCGTTATGAAGTTTGTGCAACACTTCTTTGCCAAAACAGAAATGAACCTTTTTTTTTTTTTTTTTATTGGCCTTATGATCTTGCATATTAGCCATAGTACGAATTCTTGTGTGTTCAAATTGGGGGATTATCGGGAAAAAAGGGCCAGAGGCGACGGTGGGAATCGAACCCACGACCGTGGCATGAGAGTCTCTCATGCTAACCACTCGGCTACCGCGGTCCCCCTGAATGAAATGAACCTTTTCTGGACAGAATTTTTACTTGTGATAAAAAGTGGATTTTATATGATAACAGCAGACATTCTCGATAGTGGCTCGATAAAGGGGAAGCAGCACCACATTTTCCAAAGCCACCAACTCATCAAAAAAAGGTGATGGTGACATATTGGTGGGCTTCATTTGGGCTGAAGAGCCCTTGAACAGTCTCTTGAATCCTGGTGAAAAAATCAATGCCAAAATGTAGTGCTCATAAATTGGAGTAATGCACAAGAAATTGGCATTATTGTTTAGTGACTGGGAGTTTTTTTGTGGCCCTGACAAGGCCTGGTGTTGTTTGGAAGTGTAGCGTTGAGACCATGAATAAGGCTGGGATCAAGTGTGTGCGTCGTTAGTAGAGAGAGCAGTTGCCTGAGGTCCGACGCCGTGAGTCGGTTGACTCTACATTGGTTGAAGGGACTCTGGTGCAGCAGGTAGCTGAGTGCAATGGTTTGCCAGTAGCCAAGTTGGATGAGAAGGCTAGTTCAAGGCTAATGCTGATAGTACCCTTGCCACCATTGTAGGTGCTTCATTAGTGATAAGTGGGAACTCGGAGGGATGAGTTTTGAGGTGTCAAGTGAGATCTCGTCGGAGGGACAATTCTGCTGTTGTTGTCGGTGTTGATTAGTGATTGGCGAGAACTTGTCGGGGAGACGAGTCTCTAGGTGTGAAGTGAGCTCTCATGGAGATGAGTCTGACCTCTGAAGTCAGTGAGGCAGTGCTCCTGCTTACATACTAAAGACCAAAGGGCTCTACTCGGGATGCAGAGTGGAGGGCAAGACCATTCTATAACTGGTAGGGGCACCTAGAGGGTTCCATGGTAACTACAGGTGGCCACCACTATTGAAACTGTCTTTGGTCAATCATAAAAGAACGATTTTGTTACACGTCAACGTTCACTGTTCTGCAGACCTCTCGCCTACCGACTACCATTTTTTCAGGCTCCTGGACGTTTTGCAGCGTAACAAATGTATTGATCAAAAGTCATTAGAAAATGTGTTTACAGAATTTGTTAATAAGAAAGACACAAAATTCTATTCAGAGAGTATAAATAAGTTGCCATCATATTGGGAGAAGTATATTGAGAGTTATGGAGGGTATAATTACTAAGAAATATTTAAAATCATTAATTTAATTTTTTAAAAATATTTTATATCCATAAACCTGTACTATTTTCCGGACAACCCAATAAGATAAATAAGTTGTGGTTCGAGAACATGAATCTTAGAGTGAAAACTTCAATAAAATTAGGAAAATGAAGGCTTTGATTAATTTTAAATAGTAATTAAATTATATCAAGCAAAACATAAATGATCATCCTGATCTACCTATTCTTCCTGGGTTCTGTTTGACACACCAACTTTAAGATGTTTAAATGCATCAGACAAACAAAATGGTAAAAAATAAATTTTATTTTTATTTTCTACAGCACTATTTTAGATTTTATGTGGCAGAATTATTATTAACACTGCACACATGATAATGTCAAATATTTTTATTTATTTGTATTATAAATAAGCATGCTGGGACTTCTTGTGATTTTGAAGGTGTTTGGTTTGAGAATGGCATGTTTCAAATTGTATGAAGTTCTTTTTAAGGTCAATCTAAACAAGTTGATTTGTGTAGTTTCTGTCCGATGTCCTGCTGTCTGCTAAACAATGTTGCACTTTAGAATTAAACCTTGTCCTTGTACTTTTTTATTCATGAATTGAGATTGTATCGGCTCATTAAAGGCAGCCTTCTTAAAATATTCAGTAAGGTTGACTTTGGGATTAGATTAGTATCTTGCATTTTGTCAAGCCATGGGAATCGTTTTTGCTTTCTGCCTAGCCATTTTTTGTAAGTTTTAATTTTGACAATTTTGTTATTTTGAAATATGAGATTTCCTTATTTCACAATTCTATTATAAACATTAATTTTAGTAAATTCTTAGAATAATGATTAGTGATTGATGATTATTATACATTTTACTAATTTCATAGAAGTTTGTTGTTTATCTTAAATCTTAAGATCTTAAGTCAAGAATGTGTAGAATAAAAGGTAAAATATCATCAGACTATATCAAAATGTTTGTTTTGAAAGTTTTGCTGGCAACAGGTGACTTCGCTAATTCACTATCCTGTGCTGAAATACAGGAAAAGGGCTCAGGCTCTGCTTTCACAATCGACGAACTAAAAACATTGTCTAAATTGGAAGCGGACGATCTAAAAAGTTGCATCGTTTTACTTGGAAAGGAGCGTTTGTCAACTGAACAATCTTCAGTTATCTGGATGTCTTTATTGGATGTATGTGACATTTTTAACATTGTCTAGTTTATTTAAGACTTGATCATTAATCATTATTAAATAATCAGATATTTGGATCAGCGGGTGAAATACCTGAGGAATATATAAGACAATTAGGCTGGGTTATTAATGGAATTCCTGCTGAACATTTTATGAACATATCGTTGTCTGATGTTGATACGATTGCTTCATTGGGAAAGTGCAAAGAGCTCAGTTCTGCACAGGTGTGATCTTATAAATTAAAAATTGCTTTTTCAAATTGAGTTTTTCAGTTATCAGGACTGAGGGATGGGGTCGTCGAACAATGGAAGGGAAAAGACATAGACGATTTTACAAGCTTCGACCTGATAACTCTGAAGCAGATTATATGCAGTTTCAACAGTTCCCTTTTACAGATGATCCATCCAATTTCTTATAAGTAAGCACACCTAAGGAATGGCACGTTTTGACTACAAGTTTTGTCCACTTTTGCAGAGATGCTGCTGTGGAATTGGCGACATTGAAAAACTGTCCTTTGGATGTCCTCCAGGTACTGGCCAGTCTAGCCACCAGCCCTGATAGCTTTGGCAGTGCTGCAAAATGGACATCTGTGCAGGTAAGTATTTATTTATTTCTTAATTTAAAATTAGTTTAAGAGGCAAGAACCACCAAGGTTAATGTTTTCCCTTACCTTTAATAGATAATTTTTTTAGAAAAATGTTTTAGGGCCAGCAAATACATTGCCAGCCTTCTCTTCCTTAGCTTTACACTTCTTTTCTTATATTTCTTATGTTTTAAACTTACTAATTTATTTTTCTGTTTCTCCAGCTGAGATACAATATTTTATGGTACACGGTAACAAGCTCTCTCTTTTCTTTGTCCTATTGTTAGTTTCTCTCTCAGGGCCTCGTCACTTTTGGATAAAATAAGATAAATAACAAACATAAATACACAGAAACAAGGTAAAACATGATAGCTTATACTACCAAAGAGTACTCAATATTCCTTGGGTTAATTGGGGATATACTCATCTATTCACGCTAATGAATTACATTCACACACTAGACTGCATCACACTACCACAGAGTACTTAATATTCCTCTGGGTAATTGGGGATAAACCTCTCCATTCATGCTAATAAATTGCCTTCACACTACCCCATAGTACTTGATATTCCTTGGGGTAATTGGGGATAAGATACTATTCACGCTAGTAAATTACATTCCACATTCATTCACACTACCCCAGAGTGCTTGATATACCTAGGGGTGGGTAATTGGGTATAAACCTCTCTTTCACGTTAATAAATTACAATTAATTAAGGTTTTTAGCTGAGATAAAAAAGTCAATGGCACGAGCGGGATTCGAACCCACGATCTTCGGCTTGATACGCCGCTGCTCTACCACTTGAGCTATTGTGACCTCGATCCACTCGAACCCAACTTCCCATCTCAACCACACCTTTTGAATTTTCCCTCCTTTTTGCCATTTTTCAAGTGTCGTGTAATCAATTTGATTCTCGGCGACAAATGAAATGGCCGCGGAGAGCTTTAGTGAAGGATACTTCATTTTTAAACTTATTAAATTCACTAGTTTCGTGGTCCGCTTGACCAGTTAATATCATACAATTAATTAAGGTTTTTAGCTGAGATAAATTGAAGCACTAGCTCAAGTGGTAGAGCAGCGGCGTATCAAGCCGAAGATCGTGGGTTCGAATCTCGCTCGTGCCATTGACTTTTTTATCTCAGCTAAAAACCTTAATTAATTGTATGATATTAATTGGTCAAGCGGACCATGAAACTAGTGAATTTAATAAATTACATTCACACATTCATTCACTCTATCCCAGAGTTCTTGATATTCCTCGGGGTAATGGGGGATAAGCTACTATTCCCGCTAATAAATTACATTCACACTTCCCAGAGTACTTGATATACCTAGGGGTAATCTAAGGGTAATTGGGTATAAACCTATCCTTCACGCTAATAAATTACATTCACACATTTATTCATTCTACCCCAAAGTTCTTGATATTCCTCGGGGTAATTGGGGATAAGCTACCATTCACGCTAATAAATTACATTCACACATTCATTCATGCTATCCAGAATACTTGATATTCCTCGGGATATTTGGGAGATAAGCCTCTCCATTCACACAAATAAATACAATTCCAATAAATAACATATATCACATACATGAAGACATAAAGCTCCTATATACAACTAAAAATATTTATGGCCCTAAGATAATGGAACAGCATCTTTAGATTATAATATCTTTCTTGATTATATTAGCTCTGTATTGTCAGTGAAATTAGGTAAATAGTAAAATTATCATTACAATAAAATATGTAAAAGGATCAAGTTCATGAAAGGTATTTGAAATACTAAAGTGCTTTTCAGGAAACTATAGTTTATTGTCAATTAGTTCTGATAAACGAGAAAACACTGATTTTGCATACATTCATCTAAATATTCATTGAAGGTTGCATAACTTCAAAATTTTTTATAAAATCAAATGAAAGTTTATTTTTGGTTTAAGCTAGCTAATGTTGGATGTGTAATTGTCGGTCTTCCTTCTATTAACGTCCTCCCGAATGAAGCGATGGAAGGATTGACACCGCAAATAATCGACTGTTTGCCCCCTGTGACCCTTCAAGTATATAATAATTACAGTGTAATACGATGCGGTTTATGCGATGAAAATTTTTTTTGTAACAGTCAATGTCAGATGGACAGATTTCAAGGTTTTCACCAGCGGCTGCGAGTGCACTTTCATCCAGCCAGATTTCTGCCTTGTCAGACAGCCAGAAATACGCCCTGTCACAAGCTGTCGATGGGGCAGTTGACAAGGAAAAGAATGCAGCTTTAAGACATTCTGTTGACAAGGAATTGTACCAAATTTGTATTTTGATCTTTTTCAACAAGTTCTTAAAGAGTTAGCATGCTTAAAGCATCATGTTATATTACAAAAAAATCTGTAGTTCAAAATTATTTAGAATTTTCTAGATCTAATCAAAATGTCTCTTCAAATTTAACATGTAAAATTTATATATATATATTTTTTTTCAAGTTTAAAACACATGAGTAATATTATAAAATACAAATTTGATTAGCGATTTTTTTGAGGTTTGTTGTACTTATTTGGTGGAACTCCATCATCAAAGGCTAAATATTAATGATGCCTTTAGTGCAATTGTTTAATTAAATAGTTAAAACTAAAGGATTTATTGATATTCAAAATATTTGATTTATAAACAGCTTATTTTATCTATACAACCAAAGGATATCTGATGGTGAGAAAACTTAAATTTTTTTTTAAAGTCAAATTTCATTTTAAGGTTAGTAATTGTAATCACTATCTTGAACTTACAACTTATTCTAAAATTTTTTGAAGAATTTCCATTTTGGATGTGTATCAGACGAAAATTTTGGGAAAATGGCTTAAGGTTGAAATGTATTAGTTTTATAATTGTAAATTTTTCTTCTAAGTACTTACTTTGTTTGTTGTCACCTGGATTCTTATTAGGATGATTAAATTCCTGTTTTTCGATTATGTACAACCCTTGTCATTGCATTCTTTGAAATGAGCTTTTAAGGCATATGCGGGGGATCGACTTGTACAACAATATTCAAATTTTGTGAGTACAAAAGAAATGATGTGTTTCGATAATGAAAGTTTGTGTATTATTATAAATACATGCTATTTTGAAATTACAACTTGTGCTGGTATCTTATTAATTCAAAAGAGCTTCCATTCTCATCAAATACACGTTCTTGTTTTCTCTTTTATTTTTTTTTTAATGTTATTGTCTGTTAAGTATTATAAAAAGTTTTTTTTCCACATTTCCTTTTAGTAAACAAAATATGGGAAGAATTATAATACAACAAGTTTTTGAGTTGTTGTTCACAGTTTTTCACTTTATTACAATTGCTTGAGTACAAAACCTTGTCAATATCATTTTTAAGTTGCAAAAAATGAGAAGATTTAAACTATTAAATTGTTATCTACAAGGAGAAAATTCAACCATGCTTAGTAAATAAATTTAATGGCTAGTACTTTGCAACAATATTATTTATGTAGTTAAATTATACATAATCAATTACATTGCATATTTCGGCTTTGTAACATCAATTATGTTTTTGTACAACCTAATCATGTAATTTTTCACAATTGCTCTTATTCTTTTCCAATTGAAAGAAAACAACAGATTAAAGAGACTATTAGTTTCAAGAATTTCTTAAATTGTAATACAATGAGTAAAAATATAGATTTTACATTATATATAATATATATATTTTATTTTCATAAATTTCCATAAATACACTTTTCACATAAGATAAAAGAAAATTGGCAACACAATGATCACAATCTGTTGTTTTCCCCTAACTGTGTTCAACTTACATCTTATTTATTAATTTTTTTTTACCTAGCTTGGCTAATCTTTTCATCATTATTATCATATGTATACGTTTTATAATCTTAATGCATAATAATATTGTAAGCAATAATGTACATTTTTAAAATTAGACTGTTTTTTTTTTGTCAATTTGTAAATTAATTGGATTTATCTTGTAAAAAAGAATATATATATGACAATACCTTATTTCAATACAAATGGCAAAATGAATGTGTTCCCAACATCGCATACTTTGGCTATAGAAAAGTCTATGTACATATCAGGGCACACTCACACTCATTCTGGAACTTGATATGCAAGAGCATTTAAGGGTTTTTTAGGAGGGCCCGGACATCTATCAACTTCTACATAAATTCAGTTTTGTCGAACAATCCTCACGTTGAAAAACATCATAACGGTTTTAAATATATATTATATATAAATGTATGCAGCTTACAAGCTGTAGTTAGATATGATTATATTATATTTGTTTTGCTTAATTAAGTATTAAAAAACAATAATAAAGATCAAGTTTGTTGTATAAAAAGCACTTGTTAATAATGAGCGTTCAAACGATATTGTGCTGATTCTAATTCCAATTCAAAAGAAATCTTATTTTCAATAATTCATTTATTTTAATTCTGGTTAAAGCGCATATTAATAATATGTTTGTGCATGTGTTTTCTTTTTTTTTAATAAAGCAAATAGTGACTAATAAAATTTTTTTGTTATGCCAAATTTCTTGTTGCTATAGCTCGCTAATAGGAATCTATCCACACAAGCACCTCCTTAATAACCTACAATAATATCCCTTAGTATCCTTTTTTTATTTTCAATTTTTGCTAAAATGTATACAACATGTGAAAAATCTACTCTTATCTGTACTGTTATGATAATTAGTCATAATAATGTCATTATTATTCTTTCCATTTTTACATGCATCAAATCAAAATTTTTTCTTTACAATTTCTATTTTCTTTCTTTTCTTTTTTTTTCTTTCAAAAAATATTTGGTTTTTTTAAAAGAAAATTACATTTACAACAATGACGAAATGTCAAATAAGAATTCCACATATTTGGATAAAAACATACCCTGTATCGAAGCAAGAAATCGCAATTTCATTGCTAATTTTTAAAATGTAGTATTAAAATGTTTCTTTATGGTTAGGAGACGATGATAGTGTCTAATCCAATGTCAAACTTATACTTTTTTTATGAAGGACAAATGATAATATGGGTGAAAAAAGTTTTTTTGTTTCTTTGTAACTCGAATAATGTAATTAGACCATGTGACAAATTGCCCAAATTATATTAGATTTTCTTTTATATTTTTTATATACCTATAAATATAATATATATTTATTAACAAAAACAAAAACATAACACTTGTTATATATAAATTTAGCACTTTGTGGACAACTTTATCATGGTCTAAATAGTCAGAAAGGAGTTGCAAAGATACAATTACACAAATATATAATTATATATATATGTTTCTTGTTGCAAAGAAAACGTTAATCTGCCGTATATGGTAAAAATAATGACAATAGTTTTACAGTAATTTGCCTCTGGTGCGATACTGCTTACAGGAGAAAATATCACTTTATCATCGTGTAAAGTTTTAGAGAACTTATCTTTGTGTACATAATTGTTCAATGCAAAGGACTTGGCGTGCTTTTTTAATTTTTTTAAAAACACAAATTTATTCTGATATTGATGACAACGACATGTTATAATTTGTTATTATAATTCAGTCTAAAACCAGAGAGGTTAAAGTTGATGAGAAGCTCAGAACTAGCTTGAAGGAATGTTAATTAATATTTTCATGATTTGGTCATGGAATGCTTTCTATGTGATAAAAATATACAAAATGAATAGTCTCATCCAAGAGATTTTTGTTTGGTATTTGACATTTCCCCTTTATTCATAGTGATTTGCTTTCTAAGTATAAAACAAGTTTATCCTAGCCATAAATATATTAATAGCATTTGTCATCTGCGCAAAACCATTGCACTTATATATATATATTATTATATATAATATATAATTTTCATGTTTTAATACAAATCGATAATGTAACTAGTGAAATGAATAAATAGCTTACAAGACTAGATAATAATTACTTTTTAAAAAGCAGGATATTCTAATGTATGATTAAAAATAAAATATTTTTACTTTGTGTTAATCAGTCATAGATAACATTTCCAATGGCTACTCCAATATTGGCAACTCTTTACTTAGCATATTGCACTTGATTTTATAGTTCATGTTTAGTTAAAGTAAAAGTGATATAAATCAATAATAATTTCTAACACAAATAAAAAAAAAGAAACATGAACTCAGTTTAATTTATGTTAAATTAAAACTAAACCTGGACTGCACCTTGTAAAATTAACAATACTTCTAGCACAAATATGAAGACCTACCCTCTATTATTTGACTAGTCATGTACATATTTAAATACAATAAATTCTTCAACATTACAATATTTTGAGCTTTTGCCTTGCTCTCTGAATTGTGCCTTTATCACCGACCTCTCATTTTATATCATGCCACCAACTTTGTGACATTTTCATAACATCTAAATTTAGAGTTTTTTTTGTTTTTTTTTGTTTGTTTATTTTTTTTTTAAATTTTATCTTTTCATGATGGAACTTTACTAACTCCATAAACACGACTCTTTTTATTATACATATTTATATATCTATTTATTAAAGCTCATTATTATTATTATTATTATTATTAATTATTATTAGTATTTTATAATTTACATTATATATTATGGTTGTTTCTCACACAGTCCTTAATCTTCTAAAATGGAGAGAAAATCATTTATTTCTTATATTTCAAATATAACAATATAATAAAATTCCATTTATAATTAAATTATTTCTTTTAATGAAATAATGTCAATATAAATAATTGATATTCTCTTCATAATAAAAAAGAAAGTGATAAAATTTTTAGAAAATGACAAAAACTCATTAAATGTAAAGTAGCCTATGCAAAAAGTATTAAGGCATTATAAACAGGCCCTATAATAATTTTTTTTGTTTATCCTACATTGTTTTCTATGCCCTGTAATAATTCTACAAAGATTCTATAAATTTAAGCCATAAGGGTGGGCCAGGCTCTGAACAGCCTAAATAACTTTATATCTAGCATCTTTCGATTGCAAGAAACTTTTTTTTTTCTCTATGTTATCGTATTTCATACCCTATTTTAAAGACACTATAAAATCAACCTTCCGGTTTGCAAAATATTTACATAACTATACGAAGCATTAACTCGTTTTGTTTTTCCTTTTGTTAGGTACATTTTTAAAATGATAAGTTCGCCAACACCCACCCATGTCATGCCTAGAAGTGATATTTCTTGAATCACTGTTCTTCTATCGATACAACATGGCTAAGAACTAGATTCAAATATTTCCTGTAAAAAATACTATTCATAAAACTACAATGGTGGCACCTTTCACATAAATAATTAAGTATAATCTTATGTTCTCCAAGCTGACTATATAATATTGTAGAAGGAAGTAATAAAATACACTTAATATCTATGTGCTTTAAATTTCACTTAAACATTATTTACAAGATATTTTAGAAAAAAATATATATTGTTTTCATGTTTTTTTATTTTACTTTTTAATTCATATTCAAGCATGTTTTGACTGTTAGGCTCCAAAGGTTAACAACAATACACAGACACAATACATTGACGTTACTATAGGCCAGTATTATACATGGATAAACATTTAGTAATCTTAAAAGACCATGCTCTACAGTTAGTTATTTCAAATAAAATATCTGCTTCTATTTCAAAAATAGCGTAAATTTTTGTTGATATAATGCGGTGGTTTAAATTTTTGTTTAAAATTAAATCTGTGTTCGACTTAGTGTTGATCTCAGTTCGTAATTATTAAAGGCTGTGAATATATTTTCAAAGTTTGTTTTTTCCTCCCAATTAAATAAGTAAAGCATGGAAAAGCTCATTAATGAGATGGGTTTAAAATACACAATTTATTTTAAAAGTTACATAATTTGGTTTTAATCTGTTGACTTAACGGTTTTCAAAATAACGTCTTTCTGGTCCACTTAATTTTGATCCCTTGTTTTAGAATTTCAAAATATGCATTCAGTTCCAAATACTAAAGAGAGAACTCAAATCCAATCAGATTTCTGTGACTGCCGTCATAGCATCGATCGAGTATACACTCATCGTACTTGTTAAGCGTATTGGGAGACAAAAATTTCACTGTTTACATATATCGTCTTATGTAAATTTGTAAGTTATTTGTTCAAAATATATATTCTGTTTTGTCCGAATGCGGTCAAGGCAACAGGAGTGGAAAAAGGAACAAATAAACTAATTTACATCAACTTATGAACTTTATTAACATTTTAAACCCATCTTTTTATGTATGAATTGACCGCAGTACTTTTACCTATTACTAATAAGGACTGCAATTACAATTATCATACAACAATCTGTACAGCCAGTAACTACAAATATACATTTATATACGTAAGTGACAAGTTGTCATGAAAAATCACAGCCCAATTGGAATAGTCTCAGAGCAAATATATCATAAACAACAAACCCTAAATGGACTTTTAGCTCCTAAGAATTTCATAGAAAAAAATGTTTATCACAATCAAGTATTTAGGAGGCCTAACAGTCAGAAATACTTGACGGCATAACATTGTTATTCATAACATGGTAAATTTTTAACAAATAATTTTTAACCACACCTCTGATATTTGTATTTATGGACTAGATTAAAATTTCAACAAAAAAAAGAAAAAATATTAAAAACAAAATTATTAACATAGAATCAAAATTTTTGTTGGAAAAAATGGTATTTGTTTAAATTAAGTTTTTACAATTTTGCAATTATTTTGATTATACATATATATAATAAAAACAATAAACATTTTAAACAACCACCCTTTCTTCCCGTCCAAAGATTAATACTAGTTGTTTAATTCATTACTGTATAATAATACTTGTTAGTTACCTATTAATCATGTTTGATTAATATCTTAATAAATATATATGTATATATATAGCATATGAATAAATTATCGGTTGACTAGAGAGTCTGACTAGCTGTATGACGAGTTTCTTTGGAGGATAAATTGCAAGTTCCTTGGTTATATAACTCTAATTACAATTCATTAAGACCTGGGTTGTACCAACCAACTTTAACAACTGAAAAATAAAACAAAAAGCACAAAATATATATCAATTGCATCAGAATCCATTTAAACTACCATGCAGCTAATTAGAATTAAAATTAGAGAAGAAAAAGCTCAGTATATGTAATTTATTTGTTTTAATTTTTTTCTTGTTCCTAACTCACATTAGGAGGATTTTAGATTTAGTAAGGACGGTTAGCATCCTTTGGCCGCTTCAGTTGCACTTTAAGCCTCTTCATACCAATTTGGAATCCGTTCATCGCCTGAATTGCAGCTTGTGCACTTCCAGGGTTGTCAAATGAAACGAAACCTATGAAAAGATGGTGAAATGATTAAAGGGACATAAAATAAAATGACTAAATAAAATTTAAGGTTTTGAATGATAGTTAATAAAAGTTTCTGTTTAAAAAATACAATCATTTATAAATTTTATTATTTTTTCTTTTACAGGCTGGCTCTTACAAAGTAGATTTTTCTCCATGAACAAGAATTCTTTTCTTAAAATCTTTATTTTTATTTTTTTCAATATTGATTTCAGGGACTTTGATATTGAAAAAATAATAATAAAGGTTAGAAAATATGGGAATTCTTGTTCTTGAGTAAAAAAACTACTAAATATAATTGTAAATGATTCTAATGAAAATCAGCCAAGTAACATGAAGCGACAAAAAGTCACTCCTAACATTTAAACAGAAACTATTGTCACATCATATACATAATTTTTTATCAACATTGACAAATCAGTTGTAGAAATATGACGTTAACTTACCAAAACATTTGCTCTGATTTGTCGCTCTGTCGATAAATACTTTTGAGCTTATAACATTTCCGAAAGGCAGAAACATTTGCATGAGTTCAGCATCGCCAAACTCTTGGGGCAAATGGTATATGAACAAGTTGCATCCCTCGGGACCAGAAATGGAACAACCTGGGAAACAACACACTGAACAATCATTATTATGTCTGCTTCAATTCCTTGCAGAAAGTACTTCATTTGGTCCTATGTAGGTGGTGTAATTAGTAAGTTGAGCTTATTTAATTTTACAGAAATTTGACAAATTTTGTAAACAAGTTGTTTTGATTTCCTTTTTTTGTTTCTATTTTAAAATTTAAGTTCTTCACGTTTATACAATGTGAAAATGTTACAAATTTAAAGTTTATAATAAAATATGAAATATTAGTAGTAAAATCTCCTATTTATTCTCAGTATTTTTATGGTATTTATTGTGGTTTTTTAAAAGATCAAATGAAAATATTTAGACTTATTAATTTATGAATTTTAAATGTGCAATGTTTCATTGTTAACATCACCCACAATATAATTATGTAGAAAAAACAGACAAATGCAATAGTGATAATGATACAGATTGTCCACAGAATACTACTAAGAAGGAGAAAGTTAATAGATCGGTCTTTAAATCCTAAATTAAACATAAAACATTGATCCACCATGTAAACGATGCACACCAAGTATGTAAAACATTCAAGTTTTCAAAGAAATTATAACATTAACACATAAAACAACTTCAAGTGCTATTAACAGTAACTTACCTAAAGGGATATATACACTTTGCTTATTGATTTCAATTGTAAATAATGTGTTATGCAATTTTCTATGTTCAATTATTCTATGTGTGGGTTGCAATAAAAGTCGGTTTTCTGTGGTTAATTTGTGTAAAAAAATTTCTTTTGTAAATTTTGTCAATTTATCAGACTTGGTATTTACCTTCTCTTTGTGATGCAGCCACTGCTGCAATTGGCTGTGGGATCGCCTGAGCAAATTGCCCGTACACTGCTGGGTACGCTGTTAAAACACCGACACACATCAACATCGACATAGCATACATTTAGGCAAACACAAAGAAAGTACAAAGAAAAGAAAAGAAAAAAAAAGTAAGTGAAACTAAATTTTTGGTGTGGTTGGAGGTCACAACAGATGATAAGGGTAGTATATTCAGGTAATATAGAAAGGCATTGAAATGAATTCAAAACTGTGGGATAAATGTTTCCAATTCAATTTTTTTAAAATAAAATTTTAATCAAGTTTAAGTCATTTCAAAGTTAATTATTTAAACTTTTAAATAAAAAAGGAGAAACGTAAGAGATAATGAATTAAAAACAAAAAGTTTTATTAAATTAAACCAACTTTGTTTTCAAAAAATAATTTTTTCTTTAAATTTCTGTTATATGTTTAATTTTCTCCAATAAATTTACACCATGTTTATCTCTATTTTTAACAAACATAATTCATAAACATCATAACATATTATATAAAGTTACACAGTAAAGATCAATTAAAATAATACTTAGACTTAGGGTAAATATAAATTATAAATCTAAGAGTTTGGCAATAAAATGAAACGAATTTCTTTACAAAAAGTTCAAAAAAATTGTTTTTATAATAGACTAAGATGTAAACAGTATATCAAATGCTCAGTAGAATTTATAAAATACATGCAATGAAACATTACAGACAATATTTGAATGTGTGATTCCTTCAATTAAAAGCTCGTGCTGACTCATTGATATTAATGGGAAAATGAACTGAATGAGATAAGCTGATCAAATAATTACTTCTTTTATGAATTTTTAGCGGCAGTACAAATTTGGATTGAAGATTTTTGAAAAGTTAGATCAGCGCAATGGTTGTTAACAAAAGATCAGTCAAGATCTCCTCAATGTCAATATCTAAAGAAACTAAACAGTTTCTAATTTATGAAGAAACACTTATGGTATTAACAACAAATTTACATAACAAATTAAAGCAGGCAGGGTTTACATGAAGGCAATTTGGCATGCTAAACACTGTCAATTTACATCGAGGGAGGATGTAGACTAAACAGAATTGAGTATGGCGTTTAAACCTGCATAAAAGTTAATAATTAGCTTGTCAAGGCAAACAAACAGCTCAGATTTAGGCTTTCTAACAGGGAAAAGGAATTTTTAGCTGCGGGTTTATTTCAAAATTTTTCTCACTATCTGATAATACTAAAAATCTTATAGAAATGACCATCGCATATGTAATAACTTTCACTTTACCAACTATACAATAAAGCGCCATCTTTTCAAGATGTCTTTGACATATGATTTGCGTTGGAAAACAACTATCGTAAATTCTAAGATAAAAGTGCAAAAATGCTGTGATTTTTTGTGTGTACTATTCTGCCCTGCTAAGGCGAAATGCCATATCTACTGTTTTGATAGTTTTGAAAAATTGAGCTTTGAAGTTTTTCATGCTGATTGCCTTCAGTTAATTTGCCATATTTTTTAAAGTTCTTGGCCTAGGACTCTAACTTCACTTTTTTATAATCCTGAAAGATTTTTTTTATTATAATTTATAATTTATTTTTCAATTCAATCTTATTTTATGCACTTTTTTAATAAAAAATGGTTGTTATGTTAAATTTAACTAGCAAAAAGTTGCGATGGTTACTTATGAAAAGGAATGAATCTGAAAAGAAAGTGATTTTTTTACAGAATGTGTTTTTTTTAATGTAATTTCTTTTGAAGTACAATAGTAACATAATGTATTATGAATTATATATTTAAATTAATTCGACTGGATTTCCGTATCCTTTGTTCAATCCAATGCATCTCCCCACTAATGGATACGTTTTATATACTAATCAAGTTTTTGTGGCATAAGTCATGGGGAACGTAAGTGGCATACATTAATTTTATCTAGTAATACAAGCACTTTTTTTCTTAAAGATATGGTAAAATTTTGGAAATACGTTTGTTTATTAGTATTTTTTTCAAAATGTTTTAAGCTAAATACAAAATGTTGATATGTTAAATGGATATTTTTAATATTTCTGGACCGATTCACATTGATTTTATTTTATTTTTTCAGTACGAAACATACCTAAGAATAAAATGGTTAAAAAAAATCTTCTTAGCAGGGCAGCATTGCATCCATGTAAATAATTATATAATTTTTTCAATGTTTTTCTTTCCTCAAAATGTATTGAAAGTTTGATAAATAACAGTGATAAACAACTATGAAATTTTCAGTAAGACTTACACGCTTTATATATTTATTGACCATTTAAAGATATATATTAATATGAAAGAACAGTTAAAAACAATCAACTTTCTCCATTTTATATCCATCCTTTGCAATGGAATAAATGTATTAAATTATCCAGTGTGTTAAGGTAACATAATTTTTGGTTCACTCATGCAAATAATTTTTATTTATTTCATTGGCGCTCTACTATTTCACTAGAAATTTAATTAATATTGATATTTTTCTTTCTCTAAAAATATTTACGCGATATTTACTCAAGTATTGACCTACGCTGATAAATGTTTAAATGAACTTGAAAGGTGTCATTTTCATTCTACAAAAACCACATAAATACACCAAACATCAAACTCTTCTATGCAATTTTTGAAGAGCTTCTAGGTTTACACACTAAATTGGGAAGGCTACGCTATTTATGAGTTGTATCGACTTACCGACACCTGGATATGGAGGCATCCCTGGATAAGCTGCTGCGTGTTGTAAGGCTGCTTCGCCATTAGCAAGCCCTGGTGCTGTAAAAATGAAAGAAATTGTAAGTTAAAAAAAACATTTTCACAATAAAAAAAAACATTTATTACAAAATAACCATACTAGAAAAAGGGATACTATGGATTTTAAGAACTGCTAATTTGTTGCAATATTTGCTTTTATGTCTACAATTTTGGACTTGAATTTCTAGCAATTCACTGGCTCACTAAACAATACAATTGTATTCATTAAAAATTTACATTTGGCAAATAATTTTATTTGGAATAATTATTTTAAATAAACAGGCAATTGTTTTGAAATATATCAAAATGGTATTGTATTAATTGGTATTTAGGTTATTAATCATGATATTAACAGCTTAATTAATAAAATCTTCACTTAAAATATTTCATTTAAATTTTGTATAGAGAGAATAAATAAAATTTAATAAAAGAAGAGATTTTTGCAAATAATACAAAATATGAATTTTGCTAGTTCAATTATTAAAAAATATTAAGTAAGACTTTTAGTATAAATATTTGCATAAATGATGACAGATAAAGATAAAAATAAATAAATTTCCATGTCTAAAATTTCCAAAAAATACTAGAATTTTGAAGCACTATACAAGCCAAATAGAGGGGAGTGAAAGGAAAGTGGATTGCATTAAAAAATAGGTAGTGAAGGTTATATATCTTGTAATAATGCTTACATTTTATGTCCCGGCTGAGTTGTCTATTTAACGTCAAGCATGTTTGCAGAAGAGCATCAGGAATTGCTAGAAAAGGGAAGCGATTCCATGAAAGATATCATGTCGTAAATTAATTAAACAATTAGTAAAACTATAAAATTCACATACATATACACCTAATATGCAATCTTTTTTTTTTTAATTTAAAAAATAAATAATTTACTTTTTATTTTTTTGATTTGGTGAGTTAGAAATGACGCATCTGTGAAAAAATTATTTAAAACCTTTCTTCATGGCATCAAAGGGACAGTGTATTAATATATAGTACATTTTAATTATGAGGAATGTTTATTAACTAGTTTCTTAAATAAAAGTAAATTTAATAAATAGACTTCTTTCAACAGAACTACAGAAAAGTTAGAAACCTTTTAGTAAGTGAAAAAAGGACCTTTACGTAGTCCATAAACAATTTATATATATTAATAAACTTGGTTAATATTTGGTTCCAATGTCAGGGGCCCTGAATTTGAGCACAGTATAATGGGAGTTTTACTAGTAAGTTCGAGATCAGGGATGCGGTCATTAAAACAAGTAAGTTTTGTAACTTATGCCCAGCTTTCAACCTTTATTGAGGTCTTCTTCTTGAGTAAGTTATCTATTGTTATCTGAGAATTATTATATTACTTATTATTTATTAATCATAAACGTGATTACTTGTAGAGCCCTGATGAACACTTCTATAAAGCAATTAATTAAGGTTTTTAGTTGAGATAAAAAGTCAATGGCATGAGCGGGATTCGAACCCACGATCTTTGGCTAGATACGTCGCTGCTCTACCACTTGAGCTATCGTGACCCTGGGAAGTTAGTGTCCGAGTGGATCGAGGTCACGATAGGTCAAGTGGTAGAGCAGCGACGTATCTAGCCAAAGATCGTGGGTTCGAGTCCCGCTTGTGCCATTGACTTTTTTATCTCAACTAAAAACTTAATTAATTGTAATATATTAATTCGTCAAGCGGACCACGAAATTAGTGAATTTAACTTCTATAAAGGTTGAAAGCTGGCATAAGTTACAAAACTTACTTGTTTTGGATGATTGCATCCCTGATCTCAAACATACTAGTGAAATGGGATTTTTTAAAAAAAACTCCTGTAAGAAAATAATTTTTTTAAATTTAGATTTTATCTGTACTTTTAGGAAAACAAATGTGATTAATCCAGGTTCTGAGTAAGACTCAGAATTTTTTGCTATTGCTAGGAATGACTTTTGCCAATGTTATACCAGCCAAATAGACCAAAATTGCTTAATTTCTAGCAGTTCAATGTTGCATAAACTTCAAGATCAGGTACAAAAATTACAAAAAAAAAGTTAAGAAGATAAAAAATTAAGAGTGTTAAATGTATCTACCACTATTTTACTCATCAGTAATCTGGATCACAATAATGTCTTTATAACAAAAAATCAAATTCACTTGTTACTGCCACGCTTTCAATCTATTATAAGGTCATCCATCAATCTATAAGGTCATCCTCAGGGCAAAACAATCTTAAATATATCTACAAATTTAAATTATTGTTTTTAATAGATAATTTTTCAAATTGCTTTGAAGACCAACTCAGTCCAAACATTGCCAATTTGTAGATGTATTTGAGGTTGTTTTGCCCTAATGATGACCTTAAACTTCGTTGAAAGCATGGCAGTAACAACTGAATTCGTTTTTTCCATTAAGATCATCCTGAGATCCAGATAATTCCCAACACTTCATTTTAATTTAAATATGGGACTATAGGACAATTTAACACTTCACCCCTTATTATGATATTATATTATTATATTACATTATATTATGAATAAAATATTTACTAACATAATTTTTATCTGAATCACCTTATCGGTCAATCAGTTATATTATCAACATTTAAGTCTATATTTGAATTCAAGCTCAGTTCACCTTAAACCAGGATAACTATTTTTTATCACCTGTTTTCAAATTATCTTTGGCCATCTGTTATTCTACATGTTCATAACTTTGATAACATAATTTAATTGAATGAATTAAGAATAACATAGTAAAATTTTAGAAAGGTGCTGAAAATTCAAGTGCACAGAATCAGAAAATTTTCTTTTAAATTGAATCCTTCTATACACTGTAAATAAATCAACATACACGATAAACATGTATTCAATCTAGTTTCTAATTAATCTGTAAGAGTGATAGAATTAAACATTATGTTGCAACTTGTCGTGAAAGTTAAAAATGAATAAGGTACTTTATATTCATTCTTATATTTAGTACTTCTTATATGATGTGTTGACATATGAAATGTTATGCCTAATAAATGTGTTGTAATAATTTAGAAATAAAATACTGAAGATACTACTTGATAGAAGATCAAAACAAAAAACTATTATACACTATCCAAAACGCCCCAATTTGGACCTACTGAAATGAACTCTATGGGACAGTCAAGCGTTTCAGTCTTAATAAAATCCAACCCTTACAATCCAAAATTCTTCACACAATAGTTTATGCTCCATTCAAGGTCACCAATCATACTATCCAAATTGGTCTCTTCATACCACTCCCTCTAGCCCCAAATCTGGCCCAACACCACTACAATAAATTTCACTTCGAACTATCCTCTCATGGCAACCCAATAATTTGCAACCTGTCCAGCTCAACCCTTCCTTCCGATCTTCAAAGAGGCCTGAACCGCAGGTGGGCTCGCGACCATCTGATTGTGTAATTTTGACAACTACGGACTTCTGTTGACTTCAATCAATGCCAATTACGGCCACTTTCACTCGTCAGTGGCCATTCAAATCACGTCAGACATGTAAATTTACATGTATATATGTATATCCTATAATTTCGCTTGTTGCATTTTGTTGTGCAGTTGTAAAATAAATAAAAGAAAAAAAAATTAGAACTCGTAAATAAGCACTGTCATCACCTAACATTCTCAGATCCAATTTTGTAATTAAAAACTAACATTATTATTAAACAGCTAATATTAATTAGTAATAATTCAGAGTGTTTTTGCTAATTACAGTGATAACATTAATAATTATAAATAAAAATTAAATTAATATACAAATATTACTTTAACAACCATCACGCATAACCGATGAGTCTTGCTGGTTTAGCATCACTGGCGCCGTGTATTCGGCTCGGTAGTGATACAATGGAACTCGGACTTTTTAAAAAAAATACAATACACAAATTTTAAATACAATATAATACACCAGTAAGCAAATATGGATTAATTTAATAATTAAAAGAAGTAATTACTTTACTAACAGCTCCCCGTGGCCTGTCCATAAGTCGCTGAGAATCGGTTCCTGATTACACGACATTTGAAATATGGCAAAAAGAGGGAAAATTCGAACGGCTGTAGGTTGAGATTAAAGTTTGGCGCATAATGGCAATATTGGGATTGTGCGATCAAAGAAATTTTAATTAGACTTTTAACAATTTAGTTATGCCAATTTTTAGACATATTTAAGATTGTTTCGCCCTGATGATGACCAATAGGTCGAAAGTTTTGCAGTAACAATTGAATCTGTTTCTTCATCCAGACCATACCAAGATCCAGATTATTTGTGAAAAAATTTAAAGAAATGTAGCAAAAGTCAAAAGTCGCATTTTAAATTTAAAGCTTATCTGGAGATCGTGAAATGCGGTCTTGTGTGATGTAGATTTAGAAAAACATTTTCTTTATTGTGCCAACGTTTCGATTTTTACTTAGATCATCTTCAGGGCCTAGGATTTACAAACATTGTTTGGATTATACAAATACATGTATGATGTGAAAATGAATTTATACAGTGCGCAATATAGAAATTTTATGCTTTTTCAAAGTATTTGTCCTCACTCAAAGGATGTGTTTTCTTTGTACCTTATTTAAGTCTAAAATTTCTATATTGCGTACATCTTTGTATAAATTCGTTTTCACATCTTATATGTATTTGTTAATCCAAACAATGTTTGTAAATCCTAGGTCCTGAAGATTATCTAAATAAAGATCGAAGCGTTGGTATAATAAAGAAAATGTTTTCTAAACCTACATCACACAAGACCGCATTTCGCGATCTCCACAAATTATTAATAAACGGCTACTAAATACTACACATTTAAATTTAAACTTTACAAGAAAATTTATATTTTATTATTGCATCAATAATTAGTTCTTAAGATACTGATTCTATCTAGAGAATTGTACATAAATTCGTTTGTATTATTTTTCCAGTTTGAAGCTTGGTTAGAGTTAATTTTTTAGGCTCAACTTTGCGTTAGTACTTTCTAATTTTCATAATAAGACAAAACCTGTGTATACTTAAATGAAAATCAAATAAATTATAAATAATTGATTTATTGGTATAATATTTGTATAATTTGACTTTCACCATGGACATGTGAAGTGTGGAATTACTTAAAGTTGAACTTACGTGGAGGATAGCTTTGGTGGATTCCGTTCGTGTATATTGCCGGTTCTGAGCCCGCTGGCTGACCATTGGGCGTTTGTGCCATGCTGAAGTTCGGAATCGTAGGAGAAGGCAGGCTTGGAATGGTGCCATTGACTGGCTGACCTGGAGTGCCGCCACCTGAAAATCCACTCCGATTTAAAATAAGCCAAAAATGGATGTAAAAAAAGTATATTTTAGTTTTTACCATTTAATGAAGCGTGTGTCGCCAGAGCGGCCATTGGATTAATGTATGTACCTTGAGCCGCCGCCATTAGTGCTGCTTGTTGCATTTCCTGCGGACAAATTTTGTTTTCCATAAATAAAATGTAAGATCGTTTATAATCCGTGTAGTTATACTTCGTTTATAACTTGGGCGTACGCTCCTGCGTATGTGCCGAATTGGTTAAATACAAAAGGGTTAAGTAGACTCATATTGCCAGCCATTTGCTGCATGCGCCTTAGCTGTCGCTCCTTTTCGGTGTCGGCAAACTTTACTACGAGTGAGGAAGACGCTCCCTGGTTAGAGGAAAAAAACAGATGGAAATTAATCATACTGAATACAAATTGTGGGAAATAGTCAACAAGAATTAGCAAATTTTGTTTTTGGGAAAGGGGCTATAAAAGAAAGGGAGTTGTCATGCCGGGCTAACAGTGGAGACCCCGCTCCAAAAGGATTCTTTAAATATTCAGCTGGGGAAAGAGACGATGGCAAACACTTAGTTAGCCTTGTGAATCGTTAGTAGAACGTGGGACCTTTCAAAAACACAAAGAGGGATTTATTATGCAATGTAACCACACTTCAGCACTTCTATTTCGTTATGCCTCGGAAACTTTTCTTAAATGTACAAGATATTTTCAACACTCCAATTCGGACCGAGTGCCAAAACAAAACCAAAACTCCTACGCAAGAAAAAACAGGAGTGTTTTATGTTCGTTGAGGACGAATGAAAATTTGTAACATAATTTCAAAAGGTGATTCATATTTTAAAGATCGTTCATATTTCGTTTTCGCACTAGTCATCAGTAGAAATAGTAGGTTGACTGTTTCCGATCATTTTGGGCTGCCTATCCTTGCTATTTTGGTCGTTTCTTCAATCGTGCATTTGTGTACGGATTTTAAAATAATAATAACCAAATTACAAGACTCGAGAAGAAATTTCAACAAATAAAAAAAATGTTTGTGATAACTGATACTAAAAAAAACTACAATACCGAAGTTACCAATCTGACATGTTCTTAACGTCTTCAGTTTCGAACAATTGTACATATTAAAATAAATAAAATAAATAAAAAATAATCAACGACTGCGATCATAAGGCGTAATAACTTGAATCTTCTCGTCCTTTATCAAAAACAATAGACAGGGGCTTTTCTAAACGGCTGGGAACAAAGGATGTTCTCTCGCCGTTTCCATAAAATTAAGGTTAACCGCATTATACACCTTATAGGTCGAGGAGAATGGGGGCCCTTTTATATCCTAGATTTTCCTCCCTTTATTAAAAAAATCCTAATATGGAAAAAAAGCGTGTGTACTTTGGACGTAATATCAAGAGCCAAATGTGTAATGACTGAAAATCAGGCAAAAACAGTCGGTTGTTGGCCAACAATTAATTTTTCCATAAATATTGTACTGGCACGAATTTCTCTGTAGATGTTCTTTTAAATTACACAAAGTAATTATGTTTTATTGCGTTAATTTCTGTCGTGAATACCACCCAATTACAAAAAAAAACAAAAAAAAAAAAACAGCCTTCTAGTTTCTCAAGATGAAAAATTTCCGTCCATGTAATGAATAAATAATTCAATTTACATTTACAGAACATTTTATGATCAAGTTGTGAGTAAAAGGCTCGTAAAATTTATATGAAGCCTTGTAAATTACAAGAGTGTTTCAATAGGTATAATTTGCCAGAATTCCAGTTTATTTTGTAACAAAACGGTGAATGGTTTTTAAATTCTTACTGTTTTAAATTTTCTTCGATAAATAATTTTTTAATTTATTTATTGTAATTAAAGAAAAGGTTAATAGCTGAAATGCTATATTGTAACATAAATATTAAACTTCATATAACACTACCTCAAACGTTTGACAATGTAAACAAATATAAAATTGTTTCTTGACTTACGAAAATACGAAAAAATGAATATATTCGAAAATCTTGAAACAAGTAAAGAAAACACGTTCATGAAGAATGAAATAAAATGCAATGAGCAATTTCTAAATTCTATAGAACCTCAGGTTCCTGTTTTTGGTCCAAGTTATTGCTTAAGCTTTACAAATGAGCTTTACAAGTACTTCCCAACAGTTCGTTTCACTGCGTTTGCTTATGATACTATTATTCAATTAAAAGAAGCGGTTAAAATAGAGTTTATGAAAATGAATGATAATTTAAAATCTGATATGGAAAAGTACATGGAAAATGGCCTGTAGTTAAATAAAGAAAAGTCAAACGTTTTGATAATGAATACGTCAAGAATAAGAAGGTCTGAAAAAATTCAATTCATAAAGCACTTAGGGGTGTATAGTGATCCGTATCTCATTTGAGATGTCCATCGTAATATTCTTGGCATCTAAAATCAGTAGATAGTTGTTTTTGTAAAAGTTTGAAATACAATGTTACTTCCAAAGTACTGGTAAATGTTTATTTTTCTTGTGTTCAACGTTACAGTACATGTGGATTATTGGTCTGGGGACATTTTAGGTATGCACAGTTTGTTTTTAAACAACAGCGAAAACCAATTAAGGTACTAGGAAAATCAGGGGTCAAAGATTAAAAAAAAAATTTTGGCTGTAAAAAATCTTGTATCAAACTTACAATTTTAACTTCATTTTGCTTATACATATTAGAATGTGTGATGTATTGTTATAAACAGAAAGAGACTCTTAAAAAATGACTTGACAAATGAACCTAACAATGTTAATTTTTTTTTTATTAATTAAATTTATTTATTAAAACTGGTCTTATTAGACCAACCATTAATTTTACAATAATATTATAGAATAAATAAATATTTACATTCTTAAAAACCCACTGGTACAATAAGATTTACATTTCACTATTCACTATTAATTTTTAACTACACAAGTTCATATGGCTTTGTTCTTTTTAATCTTCTGACCATGTTTCGGTTATGTAAGAGTTTGGTCGCTTCCACATTCTCGTGCTGGCTGAGGCAAGCCTGGTGTTTGGCGGAAAATCTTTGTATTTCCGCCGTGACTTCAAGGATCTTAAGATCCCTATGTAAGTCCTTATTCCTTATGTACCAAGGTGCATTGACCATGTTACGTAAGATTTTATTTTGGAGTGTTTGCATGATTTTGATATTGCTGTGTTTGATACAACCCCATAGTTGGATACCATATGTCCACATAGGCTTTATGATTGTTTATATAATCATATTTTATTTTATATAGCAAGATTGAAGCCACATCCTATCAACCAGTATAATTGTCTATACCTTAAACCTATTTCTGTCCTTTTTTTCTTCACGTGTTGGCATCTAAGGTTATTCCCAGATATTTAGCTGTATTGCTGTATGGTATAGTAGCTCCATCGATTGTGAGCGACGGAACATGGTCCACCTTTCTGTTTGTAAAGATTAGATGATCTGATTTATGCTGATTTAGCTTGATTTTCCATTTTTTGTCCATTCGTTTATCTTATTACATGAATTTTGGTTGAATGGGTGATAGTCGGTCCTAGTGATATCACCGCTGTTTCATCTGCAAACGTTGCAATTTTTACTCCATCTATTTTCGGAAAATCACTGGTGTATAACAAGTAAAGCAGTGGGCCTAATATGCTACCTTGTGGCACTCCTGCATTTATTGTTTTTACTTTTGAATATTGATGTTCTTGTTTGACTCTAAACAGTCTGTCATTTAGGTAGGAACTGATGATATCGACAAACTGCTTTGGTAGCATACCTTTCCATTTTTGAACCTATGGTGGTCTTTTAGTTTTTAGAGTCCTTCGTGCCAGACCTTGTCAAAAGCTTGTGAGACATCAAGGAAAATAGCAGAACAAATTGTTTTTCTTCAAGAGATTTTTCTATTACGTCCGTTACTCGGTGAATTTGGTCTATTGTTGAATGTCTTGTTCGGAATCCAAATTGGTGGTCAGGAATGATTGTCTTTTTATCAACGATGTGTTTTATTCGTTTTAATAATAACTTTTCGAAGAGTTTAGACACTGTTGGTAGTAGCGATATTGTTCTATATGATTTGACCTTGTTCGCCGGTTTTCCTGATTTTTTTATCATAATAACTTCTGCGAATTTCCAAATGCTGGGAACATATTTCAGTCTGATTGCAGCATTAAATTGGTATGTTAGTTTAACTATACTCTTTTTTTGGCAAGAATGTTAACTGAAGAAATAGTGATACTTGTATAACATATATTTGACGATTGTAATGACAATTTCGATTGTTTTTCAACAAAATAAATTCTTGTGTTCTTGAGCACTCATGAACAGACAAATCAGCAATTCAGAAACATCCTTTACTCTACAAAGGATTACAAGTAAAGCCGTCAGATAAATATAACATCGATAATATAACGTATAACATGAACTAAATAAAAAGACAGAGAATAAAAAAGAATAATAAATTATAGATAATCTTTTTTATATTTATATTTAAAATAAATTCTTGTAGTGTCGTGTATAAAGAGGAAAAAAGAGTATGACAGATTTCGGGCTAAAATCGAGGTGAAATCATTCATGTCGAACATTCAAAATTTGCGTTGAAAAGGGATTCGGCCGGGAAAAAGATTTCCAATTAAAAATTACATAGTGAATATCACTAAAGTGTTGGAAAGAGAGGCGGACCGTTGAGGAGGATTCCATAAGATTAATTTGTGCCTTTCTTAGTCCTCCGGGATTAAACGCTCCAGAGGAACCCTCGACAGGGAGAAATTGAATCCCGGGAGCGAGAAGAGGGTCTCGAGCCTATTTAAAAGGGAAATCTCCCGTAGAGGGTGATGGAAAGAGGGTGAGAAAAAAGGGAGGTGGGTAAGAACCCTCTCTAGCATTACGTCACTTGTCCGAGATATCGCTTCATAAAATAGGCTAAGAGATAATGTATTCTTAAAACTAAGAACTGAAAGCCAGGGGGATCAATAATTCGCCATAGGTTCAATATTTCATTTTTAATATCTACCTTTTTTAACCTTGTATGACCATTATTTGGATACGTAATATTGATAAAATAAGGATAATTATATTGATTAAATCTCAGATAGTTTACGGTAGACACGGAACGAGAAAGTTATTTTTTGTTACTTGTTGTATACCCAAATGCTATTAATTTTTTAATAACTGATTTATTAAACAAAAATCACGATAACGAATGGTTTCTGTTTAGATCAATCGATTCCCATAGTTCTATTTGTTTTCTTGGTGAAAGTTTATTATAACGAATTGTATCTATATAGGAAATTTAATTTCAAAAATCAATATTTTATACTGAAGAAAGAAAAACTGAAGTTAATTTTGGGTTTTATAGCTCTAGTTGA